GTAAATAAGTATAATAACTATTTGAATTAATAGGAAATGTACAAACAAAGGCTTCAACAGAGAACGTCTATATATGGTTGGGCTAACAAATTTTTGGTGATGGGGACTAAGCCCCAAGGTGTTTGGGGCTTGTTCGTTCATTCACTGTCCTGTCATGTCATTATAGGGCTGACAGTCTATTCCTCCATTGTCCTGCTATGTCATTGTATGTCACATACTACTGACAGTCTATCCCTTTATTGTCCTGTCATGTCATTATATGTCATAAACTACTGACAGTCTATTCCTTCACTGTCCTGTCATGTCATTATATGTCACATAGGGCTGACAGTCTATTTCTCCATTGTCCTGTTATGTCATTTTATGTTACATACTACCGACAGTATATTCCTCCATTGTCCTGCCATGTCATTATATGTCACATAGGGCTGACAGTACTATTCCTCCATTGTCCTGCCATGTCATTATATGTCACATAGGGCTGACAGTCTATTCCTCCATTGTCCTGCCATGTCATTATATGTCACATAGGGCTGACAGTCTATTCCTCAATTGTCCTGTCATGTCATTATATGTCACATAGGGCTGACAATCTATTCCTCTATTCCGTTCTTTTATGTTCAATCACTTTGATATCGTGGGTGGAATCCAGTCTAGCGTTACGATCCCAGTTTTGTTCCTCAGGGTTGAACAGGATATTTCTTCTTCTTCTTGACGTCTACTTTAACAGCTTTGGATGTCGAGGTAGATAAAAGGTTCTGCTTCTTACTCTTCTGACCGCCTCGACCATGGACACAGGGTGCTGTTGTAGAGCGTCTATGATGTTAGCTTTCCATCTTGTACTTGGTCTACCTCGTGCTCTCCTTTTTTGGTGCATGCCTTGTATGGTTTGACATTGCAAATCGTTCTATCTTAGTGAGTGAACCACTTCATCTGCTGCTGTCTTTGTAGGTAATTTAGAACTGATTATTCATTGTGCTGACTGTTATTGTCTTATGTTGTATGAAATGTTTCTTTGTGCTAACTGGGATTGTCTTGTGTTGTATGAGATGTTTCTGTGTGCTAACTGGGATTGTCTTGTGTTGTATGAGATGTTTCTTTGTGCTAACTGTGGATTGTCTTATGTTGTATGAGATGTTTCAGTGTGCTAACTGGGATTGTCTTATGTTGTAAGGATAATATGTCTGTGAAAACTATTACTTCTGTGGAAGTTTCTGGAGTATAATTAACGTTATTCTCACCCCAGCTCTCAACTTTGCCATAGCCTGGTTGGTCTACATAACTTTAATTTTGAATTATTCAGATCTGTTTATGGATTTCACAGAATATGGTTTAATCGAATATCGTTTTCGTCTGATCCTAGAAATTAATGGAAAATCCGAAAAAAAAAAAAAAAAACAGCGTAGCCGGTCGATCTTCTTCCCGTTTTAAAATAACGGCTTTATACAAACATAAATAATCTTCCTTAATGGCGTCCTGGCGCAACCGTCTATTGCTTTTGATGGAAGCATTAGCTTTGGTCAGGCAAATCAAACAGCGGGAGTGTTTTAATTATCGCTGAATTTTATTGTCGGCCGCGTTATGGGGGACCAGACATGGGCTGGCAATATTAAATAACTGGCACAAGATGACTGAACTGTCGTAAGAGGCACATTCAAGAATAGTGATTTACACTTGTAGAAAGATACGGAAGAGTTACAGATTTATGGACCCATTGTTTTTATAACATATTTTTCAGCCTAAAAAAGGGAAGCCGCTTGCCGAGTATCGCACAAGGAAAGAGCTTCATAGCCCCATCAACGATTCTTGCAAATCGCATAAATTTCTCTCGAACGCAGTCTGTTAAAGATTAAAGGTGAGAAGATCGACTTCATTGCAATATATATATATATATATATATATATATATATATATATATATAATATATATATATATATATATATATATATATATTTTAAATCCGCCTTTCTCTGAAGTACGGCTATCCATCTGCCCAGAGAATCACACAAAGCACGAACTCCCGTAGCTCTGGCTACTGAATTTCCGTAAAAAATTGCTATTGGGAACCGAACGAAACACTGGTTAAATTTGATTTGCGCGGCGCCCGGATGACGAACTCCTTGTGGTCCGGGTTCACGCCGCGGGTAGGCAGCCCAGATTTACTGTATCTATCAGGAAATCAAGTCCGAATGGTTGCGATATCCATAGTTGCGAGCCAACGAGTTCACAACTCATGGTTTATGGATACGAAACTACGATTTTCAGGGTTCGAGGCAAACGGCATGACTATGTCGCTACGGAGATTCATAGTACGTAATCGGTAAAACGAATCCAAAACCTAAAGAACAGAAAGGAAGTGACTTAACTACGGATCCACGGAGACCTCTCAATCAAGATTGGTGAAAACGCTGGGATTCGACTCTGCATCATGAAAAACACCATGGTTGATAACAGGTTCAATCAGAGATGTGGTTTCATCAGATAAATAACGAGAACACAATGGTTGATAGGTTCAACCAGAGATGTGGTTTCATCAGGTGAATGGTGAGAACACCATGGATGATAACAGGGTTCAACCAGAGATGTGGTTTCATCAGATAAATAACGAGAACACAATGGTTGATAACAGGTTCAACCAGAGATGTGGTTTCATAAGATAAATCACGAGAACATCATGGGTGATGAAAGGTAAGCGAAGTTGTCTTGAAAGAAACTGATGGAGACCAAAAGAGAAGACAGTAATACAATACCGTGGTGTTGATGAACGTTTTTACAATTAATATACAGAATGTTGATACACTTGATGCCCTAAGAGAATCCAGATGCTTCGAGAACCAACGAAGGTATGTGAATCAAACTGCAAGAATAGCAGTAGTAGTCAAAAATGTGCACTCTGCGAGAAGATGAGAGGTTCGGCTGCGGGCAGACATAACGAGAACACCAAATGGGCTGCGGGCAGATGTAATGGCGAAAACAAATGGGCTGCGGGCAGACATAATGGCGAAAATCAATGGGCTGCTGGCAGACATAATGGCGAACACCAATGGGCTGCGGGCAGATATAATGGCGAACACCAATGATCCATGTAGGTCCCAGGACCCCACTGGGGTGAGAAAAAACAGACTCCCTTTTCCTCCTAGTAAGCATGTCGTAAAATGCGACTCATTAGGAATGTTTTATTTGAAGTTGGAGTACAGCCTGAGAGGAAAGGACCAGCGACCTGCATACTAATAAGACAATCAGTAAAATTGGTGTGCACATACAACTCTAGTTTTGGAACAAGGCTAAAGTCCAGAAGAAGAAGAAGAAGAAGAAGAAGGAGAAGAAGAAGGAGAAGAAGAAGAAGAAGAAGAAGAATGAGAAGCAAACCAACGCCAGGGACTTTGAGAAGACATTGCATATATTGTGGTTTCAGGTGCAGTATACAGCTGGCTAGTGATATTTGTTTTATTTGTACAGTGTCAATGCATTCTCTCGAGTCTAATTATCTTTTACTTCTACTAGTGGCAATTAATATCTGTGTTTTCCACTTGAAAAAAAAAAAAAAAAAAAAACAGCTTCAGGTTGCATATGTGATCGGCGATTCTGGTGATCGTGTCGAACCATCGGCCATAACCACCTACGCTCATCGGCATGGCACATGCTATTGATGCAATTATTGTTAGAGCAAGACATTAAACAGACATGTATGAGATTACGGGCTGTTAACCGCCTCAGTATAACCGGGCTGTTTGAATTAAACCCGGATACATACATGTTTCGGTTAATATAACCTAATCGGAATTTGAAAAGTCAACAAAGGACATGGATAGACTTCGCATAAGCTACTCCCTATCCGATTCTCCCAGACGATATTCGCGTCTATTCCCTTGCCTCATCAACCAGGGAGCCCCCGTAATGACCGGGTAACCAGTACCATTCAAATTGGCAGCTTCCGCCAGTAGTATAGGTCAAATTATGATTGGCAGTGAGATTTCTTTTCAGATGTATCACACTGAATACAGTTCTTGATAATTTCCGACATTAAAAATCGTTGCCACTCAAGTTGAAGCAACGGAGACAATGGAATAAGTAATTCATCCCCTGGGAATGTAGGCTGAACACTCAAGGCAGTACTGTACGCGTCTACAGCTAGTCTGCCGGTTTGACGTTTGAATACTTCTGTGTGTGTAAAAACAAATACATTTTAAAAGATACCAAGAGGGTACAGGCACATACAAACATAAATGTTTGTGGCTAGATAAACCTCACACAAAAAATTTATAGATTTTTTCAAAATAAAATTATAGAATTCAGGTGAAATATGCCAGGCTTATGTATATATTCAGCCTTTACTTCATACATAGTAATGTCATATTTCAACTTCTGTATAATATAATTATACAAATTTCATTTGATTTGGACATTTTATCACTATAGAAAGGTAAGAAAGTGTGAATATTTGAAATATTACAACAAAATTGGTTTACGCTTAAGAAATGAATTTCGCGGAGGTCTGGTGTGGTGAAGGAGACCCTGGCCAGCTTACGGTGGCTTTGTGACAAGAAGCAGACGGCGGCCGAGTGTATGTGTTTGTGTGTGCCATATCTGTCGTGTTTGTTGTCGTTGCCGCAATTACAAGTCTCTGCATTCCAAAATTATTTTATCTTTGCAAAGTGATGTTGTTGTTTGAGATCATTACCTATTTCATTTGACACAAATATGATTGTTGACGCTAGCGTCTGTCGTTCTAGGAATATTATTAGTCACAGTGCACCGTCTGAGTCATTGATGATGCAGAGTTGTAGTTGTCACTTGTGTCTTCCTAGTTAAAAGTTGTTTCAGCCTTGCTTTAGTTATCGGCTTCGGGCATTTCCCATCTCAGACCGAAAGCTATTACTAATATCGTCATTTCACTTAGCATAAGCGGTAAACATTGCTTTCAGATTTAGTAGTTACTGTTGTTAAATGTACGCCATTTCTTTCTTATTCTTCACAACAGATTCACCGTCCAAGAGGAAATGTTAAAATTTTTTAAAAAGCATCCCCCTAAAGAGGGAGAGGAGAGGGAACGTATCAAGAAAGAATTGTTCAGATTTCAGAAGGTGAGCTGAAAAATATTCTCTTTGAATCTGTATGCACATATAATATTTAGTCATTATTTTCTGGGATAACAGATTGCAGCTTAAGTTACAAGTTATTTTTTCCCCCTCTTTTAACTTCGATGTTGACCTGTGTCCAAGGGTCCAATTTTACAATGCATAGAGTGGGGGAGGGGGGGGGGGAGAGAATAGATACATTGTCCCCCTCCCTCCCCCTTACAAACCAAGTCGTTGAAAAAAATGACTAATGGGGGTTTGTTGATATCATATGTTGGTGGGCTGAAAGGTCCATACATCGCAGCCTAGTTGTAAACCACAATAACACAATGTGCCAAACACATTTTTAAGGGCAGTCACAGAAGAACTTTCCTTTGCTGTGTATGGTAGTCTACTTTCTGTTGAACTCAACCACGGATCTTACCGTGACAAAATATCCATCCATCTCATGTCATGTTAGGTCCAGCCAAAAGGCTGATATAATACGACGTTTCTGAATTTGCCACCCCTTAGTTCTAGATTGATTACGACACGTTCAGTCAAAATAAGCCTGTTGTTGAGAAAAGCCAATATAGTGGTTTCAGCTGATATACTACATACCTACTGTTTATTCTTCCTCTGCTTTTACATCTAAAAATAGCATTTTTTACATTTCTTTTCATACCTTTACCAAAAACAACTGGCGCCATGGATTGTGAACAACATCAGACAGTTAGCTTAATACATCATGTACCTAAAACATTAAGAATCATAGGGTGCAGAATTAAACCAGAAATTGTAGAGCAGTATGGATTTGTTTAAGGTAAAGGCAGAAACAATGCTATATTTATCTTGAGAACTCTTTTAGAAAGAAAGATTTAATAACTTTCCATAGTAAATTTTTAAAGAAGCACTTTTTAGTTATCAAACATTTTGTGGTGAAAATATTAGCATCTTTGTAAGTGAAAGGAGGAAAATCAGCGATCTAGACCTCTTATGACTTTCTCCACATCAGGCCATACTTCTCAAAGAATAGCTTCCTATGATCTTGTTAGGCTAAGTTCTTTTCTTTATTTTCTTCTTTTTAATTGTATGGATTTTGTGGATAGTTTTCAATGGGGTAAAAGTTGAACATGGTAACATTTGTGGATTTATAATACTGTATATTCAGTTATATGTGTGAGGTTTCTTGGTCAAGATACAGTGAAGCTGGACGTATTGTTATCACACGATTGGAATGTAATACACAATGAAAGCTTGGAAAGCAATAAACACAGAAGGATTGGAAAGTAAATCAATTTCATGTAGCAGGTGCTTGGCAGAACGTCAGTGTTATCATGGTCTGATTGAAAGAAGCTTGGTCTCTCACCAGATCTCCTGAACTTTCCTACCCAAAGTGTCACTTAAATTCTATTCCCACCTTTTAGCTGGTCAGCCCTTGTCCTTCTTTCCTGGTACCATGCCTTTCGCTACTATTTGTTCCAATCTGCCGTGATGCTTGATATTGCCAAAATGTTTCAGTTTCTGAGAAAAGATGCTGTTTACTAGTCAAGTCTTTCTTGATGTCCAGATCTTTTAGGATGTCAGCATTTCTTGTCTTCCTAGTCTGTGCTATTCTGAGAATATTTCTAAAGCATTTCAGCTCAGAAGCCCCTGTTTTCTTCATGAATGGGTGCAAAATAATTAACAACACACATCCATATTTGTTACAGGGAAGATGCATGTTCCACATATTTGGCTTTGCATTCCTAGCCAGAGGCTATGAAACATTTAGGGGCTATCCCCCGAATAACGGTCCTAAATTATCGAGCCGGAAAATATACCCTAACAGGGCCTCAGTCACGTGCCAGTTGCGCACTTCTGTTGTCTTAAATTGCGCGCTTCTGGCGACTTCCGCCACCGCCGAGAGTATCCCCACGGTGCTCACGCGGAGTGGATTGAGGCTAAACTAGATGGCTGGGGCTCATGAGCAGCAGCTACCTTATCTCCTGGAGCTTCCTTTAATATTTTATTTGCTCGTGAGTCCTAGCCATCTAGTTTAGCTTCAATCCACGCCCCGTGAGCGCCGTGGGGGATACTCTCGCCGGTGGCAAAAGTTGCCGTAAGTTCTCAATTCGGCGGTGGCGTTATAGTCCCTAGAAGTGCGCAAATGACACGTGACTGAGGCCCTGTTAGGGTATATTTTCCGCTCAATAATCTAGGACCGTTATTCGGAGGATAGCCCATTTATTCTAGACTGAGATGACCTCAAAGGAGGCATCATTACATTAGTTAAAAACACTATTGCACCACAAAAACTTTCAGAAGCATCAGTGAGTCTGAACATCTGACAGTAAAATTTCATATCCTCCCAGAGCCGCTGTATGTTACTAACTTTTACTGTCCCAGCAACAAGGAATTAGAACTAGAGGACATCCCAGTTCCTGATTAGAACCACCCAATTCTTGGTGACTTCAGCAGTCATTCCCCAAGTTGGAGCTATGCTTCTATGAACACAAGAGGAGAAGAGGTAGAGGAATGGATGGTAGAATGAAGCAAGACTTTTCCAGAAACAGCCTTGGTCCAGGTTAACCTGACCTTAAACATTTCCCAGGTAAAGCTATGGGAAATAAAAGTGGTTGGCGTGATGTTGATCACATCAAGCGTCAAGTGCCAGTTAGTTTGTAAAATATAAGTCTTGCCCTAGATGCTCAGTACACCTGAACAGGTGAAAAAAGGGTTCTTTCCTTTACCTGGAACACACGTGGAGAGAACACAGAAATGATAATTTAATCAGATATAGATTTATCAGTTATGCCTCAGTGAACAGCACATTATGTAAAGTTTGCATGTGTCACTAATACAGTATCAGTCTTTGTAACTAATTATTATTATTTTTTGTTTACAGTGTGTTGACCATGGCTTTCCATCCAAACCTAGTGCCCTTGCCTATGACCCAAAGCTTCGATTGTTGGCCATTGGAACCAAATCAGGATCGCTAAGAATGTATCCTTCCTTATTATACAGTTTTGTGTTGTTTCTGTCATGCGGAGCGGAATTAGTTTACAAGCGGTTAGCATGAGTTCTCTGGTCGTTCCCTTGAAGTGGTCAGGCAGTTAGTATGAGCTCTCTGGTCGTTTCCTTGAAGTGGTCAAGCAGTTAGCATGAGTTCTCTGGTCGTTCCCTTGAAGTGGTCAAGCAGTTAGCATGAGTTCTCTGGTCGTTCCCTTGAAGTGGTTAAGCAGTTAGCATGAGTTCTCTTGTCTTTCCCTTGAAGTGGTCAAGCAGTTAGCATGAGTTCTCTGGTCGTTCCCTTGAAGTGGTCAAGCAGTTAGCATGAGTTCTCTTGTCATTCCCTTGAAGTGGTTAAGCAGTTAGCATGAGCTCTGGTCATTCCCTTGAAGTGGTCAGGCAGTTAGCATGAGTTCTCTGGTCGTTCCCTTGAAGTGGTCAAGCAGTTAGCATGAGTTCTCTTGTCGTTGCCTTGAAGTGGTCAAGCCATTTGCCTCACACTCTGAAGGTCATGGTTTTGTTTCACACCTACGCCATTCGGTTTACTAGTGCATTGTTTGCAGAGATGATTGGGAGTGTTACCAGAGCTGCTGAGTTCATGCTTTCTGCTCTCGGCAGCAGTTAGTCATTCTGCTGCAAGAAACTGAGCTGCATGTGAGAAAACTCGGTGCAGTGAAGTCGATTGTCGTGACTTCAACTCTGTTACTTGTGAAACAGGTTGTAAGGTCCTAGGAACATAAAGTAAAAGGCCCAATACGCCAGGGGGGCATTGGGTGTATGATGTGTGTCTCATTGTTTTTTATATCAGTCAGTAATTGATGGATGATGCAGTCAACATTTTTGCTGGATACCATTACATCCCCAGACACTAACCTGTGGCCATTTTAGGCTAGTTTGTCCTGGGAGACAAGGTCAGTTTTGAAAAACTCAAGAGCTTTGAGCCGGATCCTGAGTGTCTAGCCGGTGCTACCACACCTCAAAACAGCTCATGTAATTTTATTACAGGATAGGGTCGAAAGTCTGCTCTACATGAATGAAGCCTTTACTTAGCTAGAGATCCGAAGTGTTGTTGCATACAGTGCCACCCAGTACATAGGGACCTGGCTGGGATAATCCCAGGCTGCTCTTGTTGCTTCTATGCATAAGTTCGATTCTGACTTTCATAAGAATATATGTTCACTGCTTCACTGTCTGTATCTGCCACTTTTCAGGGCTGTGTAGGACAGAAGGGGTCCTGGGATTGAGGGCAGAATTATTCAGCTAACTTGAGTCAGGGGAGGGGGGGGGGGAGGCAAACTGATTATCGCTGGTTAGAGTCCCTAGCCTCAGCATAGAAAGATGCAAATGTGACTTTTTTGTATGCAGACTGTTAGTTCCTTGCCTCTCAGGCACACTCTGACTTTGAAGGAAGCTGCAATTAGTCGAGCCATATGATATAATTTTTGGGGAGGCAGTGGGTCTATTTTTGTTTTTCCCACAAAAGGGCCCCGTAATTTACACGGAGAAGAAAGATAAATAATATAATGTAGTGATCCGAGGGCCACTTGCTAGACTTCTGCAGGCCAGATTCGACCTGCGGGCCACCAGTTAAATGTATCTGATTTTTATCCTCATAGCTAGTGCGGTCGCTGCAGACTGCAAGTTGGAGCATTATTTTCGACCCGGCAAAAAAAAAATCTATTACCTCACTGAGGATTGTAACCTCAGTCTCCTACAGGAGAACCCAGCATTCTTAACCTCTTGGGCCAGCCGTTTTTCTGACTGCAAGATATGTTTAGAAAAAATATTTTTTTTAATTAATTAAATCAGTCAGTAAGCCACATTGAGTGCCAACATATTACATTTATAGATGTTCGATGGCAAAAGGATTGAGTCCATGCATCATATGGCTCAGTCTGTCTTTGCAGAGCAGTTGTCCACCAACCAAGAGCAGTACCTGAAGCATACAATTCTATAGCTGCACTGGCATCCCTCATCCATGGATCTTCCTTTCAGAATGAGAGGCAGATGGCTTAACAACTTCATGTGTAGTAGATATACTTCAGACCAGCCATATTCTGGTGAAAGAGAATTTAAAATATGCTAGATTCTGAAAGCTAAGAAAAATTAGTTGCTGCAGAATTAACTGACTGCAGCTACTGGAATCCACGTGGCAAAAGAAATGCCCTGACACTACGAGACCTATCAGAACTTGGTTGATTGTGACAAGAACTAGGCAACTGAGAATTCTAACTACTCCAATTCATCAACTTTCAGTTCATCGGAGTTCTAAAAAGGGCCATTATCTGTTAAGAGATTTTCTTTCCAACTTAGTTATGGGAATAGTATCTCTTTGGGGTCTTTGTTTTCTGGGAAGCAGAAGAAGATATCGGGTATTTTGCAGCATGTAGAAGGGGTGTCACTTCAGTTCACCATGTTTATGAGCAGTTTCCTGAATTTATTGCCAGCTATGGTACTCCAGGTTTTGAGGTCACGGCTGTCCATGAGGGAGATGTGTCAGTCTCTAGCATTTTCTTCATTCCAGATGAGGTGAGTGGCCCGTAGTCACTGCTTGTACAGAAGTAGTCATCATCATCTTTTGCTGGCCAAATGGTGTAGGCATTCATGTCTCCCATTGATCTTGGTCTTTGTTCTTCAGGATTAGGTAGGTCTTTTGGTGATATTCCACTTCCCTATGTGGGTTCCTGGGCCCCTTTGTGGGGAGGGGAGATTGACCAATTGCCCCCTAGCAAGCATGTCATAAGATTCGACTAATTAGTGGTTCTCCTTCGAAGTTGGAGTGCATCTGCCTGAAAGGCAAGGCACCAACAGTCTGCATACAAATAACCTGGATTTGTAAAATGGATGTGCACGCACAACTCAGATTATAGCACAAAACCAAAGTCCAAAAGTGGACGAACAACTTGAACTTTCTGCCTGAGTTTACAGCCGGTGAATGCTAGGAAGAAGAAAATTTTTCTCATGTGTCTCTCTATTTTTTTGCTGTTGATCTTTACCATCATCATGTTTTTAGTCCCCATCCTGTTGTTCCATTATACATTTTACCCTCATCCCAATGTTTTCAGTCCTTATCCTGTTGTGCCATCATACATTTTACTGTCATCATAATGTTTTCAGTCCTCATGCTGTTGTGCTGCTATACATTTTACCGTCATCACAATCTTTTCAGTCCTCATCCTGTTGTGCCATTATGCATCACATGAGCTCACTGTCCAGTTCTCCATTCCCTCCTATCCTAAACAATATTTTCAATATTCACAAATGGAAATAGTCCATCACTTTTAGTCTGGCCTGATTTAACAATCTTGTCTTAGGGCATTTCTTGGGGAACCTCGTTTCCTGAATACATTTATTTCGCTTTTCGTCAGTGCCTGTTTAAAAATTCCCTGTTTAATTCTTCCCATAACTGTTGATATGAGCAATCTTTAGAAGATAGGTCAGCATTCTCCTACTTATAAATGAAGCCTTGCCTACCAGTGCCTCTCTACAAATAACAGCTGGAGAGCATTGTCAGGTTCTTTAGTTATGTGTAAGGCTCTTCTTGTCATGGCAGTCCATGTGTTTTTCATTTGATCTCATGAAATTATTAAACTGCTATTGTTGACAGTAAATAATTGTTGTCCTCTAGGGTCGGCTCATCACTGCCTGCAGTGATCACTCTCTTCATCTGTGGGAAATCAACAGCAGAGATGGCACTTCTGTGTTGGAAGAGAAGCATTTTCAGGCATCAGAACCTGCGTGAGTAGACCAGTGAAAGATGTTTGAAAATTCAGCTGAATTCTTTTTATTGTGAATTTTGAGTTGTCCTGCTTGAAAAATCCTTTTCCAAAACTTCCAAAAATGCATCAGAAATTAAATTCATGACATGACTTTGTTTAAAGGAATAGAGTTTCAAAGAGGATATTGAGGACAGTATAAATGTGGTTTTTTTGCATTGATTGTGTGAAACAAGTTAAGTGGTTTAGACCTGTGATGAGAAGCCAGCCATATCTGTGATCACTTTGTAGTTTCAGTCAAAGAAGGTTTGCCTACACGGCTAGAGAAGACTAAAACATGTGTGTTGATTTTATGAGAGGTTTTTGTAGTTTTGTTTCATTAAAGCATCTGTAAGATTCTCATTATGTTTTTCTTCTACCTGTCCACCTCCCAATGGAGTTTATAGCTTCAGCCAGCTCACACCAGTCCTCTTGTAAACTTGCTGATTAAAAGTTGTATAGTGCAGCTTCTTCGTCTGTGGGATGAGGTAGCTGGTTTCATTTCAGTCTTCCTTGGTCACATCTCATCACAACCTTTCATGTTACAGTGTTTGATTTACTATACTTTTGCTTCCTCCTTAGCAGCCTCGCATAACTGAAGATGAGGGATGAAATCTATAGTTCAAAGTATGGAGTCCATTAGCACAAATATTCATGGCAATTATAAGTAACGAAGTCAAGAAGAAGACCATATTCACACCACTGGGGCATCGAGCGTATGATGCTAGGTTCATATTTTTTCTAGACCAACCGGCACTTGGTGGGTGATGTGGCCATGTTGGCTGCCTTTACTTCCCAGGACAGTATCTGGCACTTATTTGACACTGATTCGATCTAAGAATCCTGTCCGAGAACATCCGGTAATACGTGCAGCAGGAGCAGATCAACCCCGAGCTTCATGAACTCAGGTGGGCCTACTCTTCTGAAAATGTCTAGGAGCTCGTGGGCCGAAACATTTGTTGACGAGAGATCACTTCTACTGATGATTGGTAGATTCCTGCTGTACCTGCTCCCCTGTGGAGTTTCTTCTTAGTAAATTTTGGAACCTATAGCCCGGTCACCACATTACTGAAGTGGGCTGTGTCAGATGAAAAGCACAAGTATCACAGCTGACCAGTAAATATGCACAATACATTTACATCTGAAATAAGATGCTCAAGCATTTGCCGTTTAGCAAACAATCTGGGATTTTGTGTGTGCAGAGAATCATCAAATGTCACAGTGTGTGAGACAGACTTTCTGCATCTCTACCAAGGGTGGACTACTCAAACATAAACTCTGCAGAGTCCACGACTCTAGTTTAAAAAAAACAACACCACCAACTTTGCCCTACCTTTCTCATAGAATCTGGACCATAAGCCATCCTTACTATAAAGTTGGTTATTGCATAGTTATGATAGAAAACATCAAGGGGAAACAACTCTTGTCATAGGGGGAAAAACACTTATGGAAAGTGGTGCTATTTCTGTGCTTGATGGTGTTAAATTGTAACAAATTGTTTGCTTGATTGTTGCAGCAAAGTGAAGAACATGTCAGCTTGTGCCCTGAGCACTGACAGCTGCACCCTATATGTGGGCACGGAGAGCGGAAATGTGCATTTCATTGATGTCAAGACCCTGACAGAAACCAGCGTCGTTAACATGGATGCCATCATTCAGAAGTCAGTATGCAGTTTGTTGTACATTTCATCCTCTTTATCGGCCTTTGCTTGTTGTGTTTGTTGTTTGTCTTTTTATATTTTTGTGTGTGACATTAACTTCTGTACCATGCAAAGTTTTGCTGACAAGTTATTTTTTCGCTTGACACTCATGAGAAGGGTGAGATGGATATACAGGCAGTTACTAGTACCATCAGAGTTTTAACTCTTAGCTTGCTGCTGAAGATGGGGAGAGACCGCTTATGGGGGTGTCCCGAGTCCTGTGATGTCAATTCCTAATTTAACAATCAACATTCAACATATTTCTTCATAGATGAGAAAACTGAAATTGATCTACAGAAAAACTGTGCACTAGTAGAGGAAGTTTGAGTTCAGTGATGTCAGTCATCCCAAAGAATTGGCAACAGAAATAGATGCTTTATCTGCAGTAAATAACAGACACAGAGGCAAATCTCATAGCTGTTTGTGGCCAACTTTAACAATGGAGCCTTGCAAAATCTAGTGAACACAAAATCATAACAACAGCAATAAGATGTCACAGAAGAACAAGATTCGTCTCTCAGACACTTCAGTCAAAAGATGGCAGTTTTACTGAGAACCTCACTTGCCTGGGAATGACCACCAAGGTTACACCTACAACTGGAAACAAACCATCTGAAATGATTCTTATTAAACGGCGAAGAAGAATTTCAAATAATAATAGATCATGTATTAATGCATAATTTGTTTTATGTTTTTTTTTGGTGGGGTGTCTCTACTACAAACTTGTTGCACGTTCCAGTGTTCCGGATGATTTCAAAGTCAGCCCTGGTGCAGTGGAGGCGATCGCTAGCAATCCTGTGAACAGTGACAAGGTAAGATTGATTGATTGATTGTCAGTGTCCATGAGATGCATTAACTCTGCAGACATAAAAAAAAACCTCTGTTGTCGACTGGCGTTGGCATAGAATTTGAAGAATGCCATAGGGTTTTAACTCGGGCAGGCGATACATTAACACACAGTAGGAGCTCAGATGGATCTGCCATGTGTGGAGCAGTGATGGAACATCCTGTTTACTGATGCATCATTTCTGGATATATGTTCCAAGATAACTAATCTGTGTTTGGAAGGAGACCAATACACAGAGGTAACCTAATTCAAACATCAGAAAGAGGCAGTGATTGTTTTTTTTCTATTTTTTATTAACCACATTGTAGGAAGAGAAAAACTGCAACATGTGATACAGGAATTATTTATGTTAAGAGAAATAGAGGAATACATTAAGAGAATATTCTAGCCAACCTGTTGTTACTTGTTGATGGACGGTGCAGTGTTCCTATTTCATCTAGACTGGAGCATCGCAATGTTCTGGGACCTCAACTGTCCCACTGGGTTTGATAAACAGCGGCGACACATGATGGCCACACAGTTTGGCGACTGTGTTTATTGCTCTTCCATCAAGTGACACTGTGTCTGTTCTCTTTTGTTAAACTGTCTAGGTAATTATCTCAAGCTGATAGACCTCTCTAACCTCACACTGTCAGTAAGATAGATAAAGCACATCACCTTGCTTCAGCTTGTAGACCACACTCTCAGCTGCTCACTATTGTTATTCGTCTTTCACTCGAACACTTGGCTTTTTTTCTTCCATCTTGTCGGCCATTTATGGCCAGGTCCTATCTGGCGATGGCGACCACTCAGGTTCACATAGGTGTCCTAGCCATTCATTGCGTACTTCAAGCACACTGTTTGCTTCTGAAGGTCTCACACAGAATCACTCTCACTTCCCTGAGCTTGTTTTCTTTTTACACATGTGATTCTGTCTACACAATTCACTCTCAAGCATTAATTTCCGATTACTCCTGTTTCCACAATTTCTTTTGGACCTTCTACACTTGACTAACAGTTTATTAGCTGGCCTTTCACATATAACCTATGCCAGTTTGAATAACTCCTTCTGGTTGTCCTGATGTCAGGAGATTTCCCAATTTAGCATCATTACAGACAGGATTCATCACACAGACTGATACCTGGTGTTGGAGGTCACAGAATGTGAAGCAGAATCCCAGTGCTAGACAAGACACTCAGTGTGATGTTGGTGGTGGGAGTTTTAGTACAATCAAAGCAGAGGGCAAAATATATGTTCTAAAGACATAGCCCATGATGAAAGAGATGCCCAATACATGGAAGTGATGTTAAACAGTCACGGCCAGGGTGTGATGATTCCTCGAGTGAGCCCAGACCAGAGCACTGTGCCTCGGCTGAGCATTTATGGAAGCCTCCATGGATGGCGTGGAATGCTTATGTTCTGTCCCTGCCCTCTCTTGAGGGCTGACTAGCATTACATGGCTTCTCTTGACCGGCTTGATGTGGAGCACCACCTGTGACCTGGGAAACAAAGGTGACCACACAACACTTTTGTGTCCCACAAAACTAACTGTGAAGGCTAATCTGGTCAACAAATGCCTGCAGAAATAGGATGTGCCAGTTGAAAGGTGCAAATATCTGACACAGGTCATTTACAACAGCAGTAACTAGTATATTATTGTAATAATCAGCATTTACACTACATTTATTAGGAAGATGGAGCATTTATATGTTTGCCTGAAGTTCTGTGGTATTGATTCTGTGTAACCATAAACTACACCTTGAACGAATGAAGGAATCAAGATTTGACATCACTGCAGTTGGGACATTCCCACACATGCTCCGTCTTCTTCCTCAGTAGCCAACAAAGAGTCAGTATGCTAGTAGTACCAGTTGCAACCTAATTAAAAGTTTTTCCTGCATTGTTGAATATCTTCCACTCTGCCTTCAGTTGTTGAAATGAGGCAAGAAAGAATGTTGGTCACCACATCTCATATATTCATAACTTAATAAGATCCATAGTGTATAACATCTAAGGCAGTATTTGTTTTGAATTTGAAGGAGAAAGTGTTTTCCAAGGACTTAGAAAAGCGCAAATTGGCCAGAAATATGCCAATAGAGATTTGCAGTTTCCATAAAAAAAATGAACAAGCAACCTTTCAGATAAAAGCGAGAAAATGAATATAGATCGTGTGTTATTTATTCATTAGTTAAAATGTTTTCTGATGTATGTGTGCTTACTCTCTCTGTTATGCCTCAGGTACTGATTGGCTTCAACAGAGGGTTAATCACTTTGTGGGATGCCAAAGAAAGTGTCGCAGAAAATGCTTTCAACTCTTCATTGGTGAGAACAAATGCAGTGTTTAGTTAGCAAAATGTAACCTTCATTGGTGATACCAAATGTTTGTTTAATTAGATAAATGTAACTCTTCATTATTGAAATCAGATATAGTCTTTATGGATTACATGTATTATTAACGAGAACAAATTTTATTTTGATTTGATAATTTAACTCTTTAATGGTGAGGACAAATTTGAGGTTGGTTGTTGTATTCCGTAATGGATACATCGAGTGATCATGCTCACTGACACAGTGAAATAAGAGCATCTAAGTGATGATAAGTCGTATCAACAGGTGATGGTAAACTTTGTCCAGGTGATGGTAAACCTTATCCAGGTGATGGTAAACCTTATCCAGGTGATGGTAAATCTTATCCAAGTGATGGTAAATCTTATCCAAGTGATGGTAAACCTTATCCAGGTAATAGTAAATCTTATTCAGATGATGGTAAACCTTACCCAGGTTATGGTAAACTTTGTCCTGGTGATGTTAAACCTTATCCAGGTAATGGTAAACCTTATCCAGGTAATGGCAAACCTTAACCAGGTGATGTTAAACCTTAACCAGGTGATGGTAAACCTTGTCCAGGTGATGGCAAAACTTGTCCAGTTGATGGTAAACCTTAACCAGGTGATGGTAAACCTTGTTCAGGTGATGGTAAACCTTAACCAGGTGATGGTAAATCTTGTCCAGGTGATGGTAAACCTTATCCAGGTAATGGCAAACCTTATCCAGGTAATGGCAAACCTTAACCAGGTAATGGCAAACCTTAGCCAGGTGATGGTAAACCTTAGCCAGGTGATGGTAAACCTTAATCAGGTGATGGTAAACCTTAATCAGGTGATGGTAAACCTTGTCTTGATACAGCTAAGGTTCACAAGTTGATTAGAGAACAGTCTTGGAGGCACAAGCAGAAGACACAATTAGAGATGTATGTATGCTGGGAATAAAAAGCCTGGGAGTAGAGAGAAGTGGTTCAAAGCAGACTTGTAGGGTTGTAATCACACTTCGCTGTGAGTACAGGGATTAGTCAGGCGCTGCAGGCACTGCTGACTCAGAAATTTAAGATTTGTTTCATGATAATTACCATCAAGGTGATATGACTATCTGTACAGATGGCTCTTTGTTGGGTTCATTTTTTTTCCAGGAATATAGGAGTGTTAAGAATAAACAGGCAGAGTGGCTGATTCTGTGGGTGGTGAATGTGGGCTGGTTCTGCACCTGTGGGTGGTGAATGTGTGCTGGTTCTGCACCTGTGGGTGGTGAATGTGTGCTGGTCCGCACCTGTGGGTGGTGAATGTGTGCTGGTTCTGCACCTGTGGGTGGTGAATGTGTGCTGGTTCTGCACCTGTGGGTGGTGAATGTGTGCTGGTTCTGCACCTGTGGGTGGTGAATGTGTGCTGGTTCTGCACCTGTGGGTGGTGAATGTGTGTGCTGGTTCTGCACCTGTGGGTGGTGGTGTGTGCTGTGTGCTGGTTCTGCACCTGTGGGTGGTGAATGTGTGCTGGTTCTGCACCTGTGGGTGGGTGAATGTGTGCTGGTTCTGCACCTGTGGGTGGTGAATGTGTGCTGGTTCTGCACCTGTGGGTGGTGAATGTGTGCTGGTTCTGCACCTGTGGGTGGTGAATGTGTGCTGGTTCTGCACCTGTGGGTGGTGAATGTGTGCTGGTTTTGCACCTGTGGGTGGTGAATGTGGGCTGGTTCTGCACCTGTGGGTGGTGAATGTGGGCTGGTTCTGCACCTGTGGGTGGTGAATGTGGGCATGACAAGCTAGATGTTGTCAGGTCTGTTTGGGGGGCAAGTGAACAATGCAGAAGCATGAATTGGTTATGGTCTGGAAAGAATGGTTCAGCTGGGAGTGACCAGGGAATCTGGTCAGAAAAAGCAAGATAGACATAATCAGACACTGAAAAGTACTTTATACAAAGCGAACAGAAGGACCTTTTCTAGAGATCTCTTCCTGCCCTGACGCCGCAAGGCATTCCAGGAGTAGAGGAAAGAGGAAGAAGAAGATAAAGACATAATCAAACTACTACTGGCACCATTAGAATTGGAACTCTTGGTTGGCTGCTGGAGATGCTGGATCACCTACAGGAATGTCCCAAATTATGTCAGTTCTTAGCTCAAAACCATTCATAAATCTCCCATGAATACCTTCCCTTTGATCTCTGACCCTTAATGGTAGAAAAACATTGTATTACCCTACACACAGGTGATAAACCTGTTGCCAGATGTGAATTGAAAAATGTTTTCCTGCCTGGGCTGTTTGTCTGAGGGCATAATCTTGCCTTATGATTGCAGTATGTATAAGTATAAATTTGGCTTTTATTTGACAGCAACTGGAGTCACTCACCTGGCACAGGAATGGTGAGGAATTTATCAGCTCCCACAATGACGGCAGTTACATTACCTGGAATTCACGAGATTCCTCAGCTCCTATTGAACCTTCAGTTTCACCATATGGTATGTAGACTGCACACAACCTTGTCTCTCAATCTCACAGACTCTCTCACTCTGTTTCACAACCTTCTGTGGGTTGTGACCCATTATGTTAAGCACAGACACTAACCCACCAACCCATGACCTGGTTACATAGTAGCCAGGTGACTTGGTGTTTGGTGGGTGGGGGGGGGGGGGTTCTCCTCATACTTCACACTCGCTCATTTCTTTGTACACAATTCCTCTTCCCTTCATACACTTATTTCTGTCAACGTTTTCCTTTACCCCCCCCCCCCCCCTTCCCCCCCCACAGTCTCTTGTCTCTCTCTCCACACTTTTCTTTCTCTGTGTATTCTTGTCCCTTCACAAACTATTTGAGGATGTAGATTTAATAAAGGTACTTTCACTTTTGCATTATAGTGGGCACTTATTTATGCCGAATGTTTGTCACTTTTGGTTCATTGACCTTATATCTTATGCCTTGTATCTAACATGAGAGCATAGGCACTCCACCAAACTTACTGGCACCTACCAGTCTTGTTTGCCATCTTCTGAAACTCTTGTCTGTTTCCTATATTATTTAACTCTTAACTGTATTTCTCTGTTCCATGTGTTTTCAAGTGACCATGTGTGATGAACTGGTAATATTCATTCTTGGCTATTTAAATCCTAATTCTTTGTTATTTTGTCTGTCTTCTTGTACAGGTCCCTTCCCATGTAAGGCTATCAACAAATTACAGTGGAAGATGACGAAAAAGTAAGTAGACTATTGATCATCTGCTATGTTTTAGTCATTTGTCCAACTGTTTTGTATAGCTGAAGATCTTGTAGGTATATCAATATCTCATACGTACTTTGTGTTACCACAGAAAAGTAAACGTCCTTTTTCTGCGCATTTAGACATATTGGGAATATAGGGCTAGACCTATATTTTTCTAGACCAATCGGCACTTGTTGGGTGATGTGGTCAGCATCAGGCTGACCGCCTTTACTTCCCAGGACTGCACCTGGTACCCACAGATAGACCAGATAGACCTGAGAGTCAAGGTCATTTTTGAAAAACATAGTTAATACAATATTTTTATACTAGAGATATTGAATAAAATGTTGGATGTTTCTGTCACGTCAGTGAGCCAATGATCATCTTCTCTGGTGGAATGCCTCGAGCCAGCTACGGAGATCGGCATACAGTGAGCATCCAACAGGGAGATAGTCACATCGTTGCAGACCTCACATCCAGGGTTGTGGATTTTGTTGTTGTGTCAAAGGCTGATGAAAAAGATGCCGTTGAGACAGGTAAGTAATTGTCTGTGTCCCTCTTGTGGTGATGTAGTGGGTTTGTGTGCTGTCTGTAGATTCTTCGAAAATATCCTGTCAGCATAATATGACATTAGTTGACCTGACTAGTCAGTGATAAAGCCGTGAGCTTTTATTATGTCTCATACATTTTTACAGCATTGTGATAGAAAGATCAGAGGCAGACCTAGAGAGTGGCTAGATGGCCTAAGATGCTAGCATGGAGGAATATCATTGATAGAATTGGTCCAGAACATCAGGGATTGAGATATGTGGAGAGGTTTTGTAGTGGCACCCTTCTGTCTTTTCAGAGGAAAGTGCTCCACTGCGAGGCTGGGGCATCACAGATGGGCAGTGTTGTAGAGACTGTTGCTTATGCAGCATGATTTTGGCCTGCCGTGTTAACTCCAAAGGAAAATTGATACCAGTGTCAATGTGGAGTGGTGAACATCTACACAAATGGAGCAGATGACTAATCGTATCGTAAAGAGAGATCCCCATGTAGGCTGCGGGAGGTGAGGAACTAGCAGTCTGCGTACAGATAAGCCAGATTTGAAAACAGATGGATGAGCAACCAGAACTTTACAGCCGATGAGCGCTGAGGAGAAGATAAAGAGAGATGAACCTAAGGGTGTTGGGTAGAAATTGAAAAGAGAATGCTCAATAGACCACTAGCCAGGCTAGATTTAGTAAATGAGGAAAAAGAATATTTGTTGCATGATTCTGGGATCAATATATGAATCTTTGTCTGTAGCCTGTAGGTTGTTGACTCAGCTGAGAACTTTGTTCTGTGATTTATGAAAGAAAAGTCCTTCATTAGGCCAAAAAATAAATAAATCAGGTGACTGCATATAAGCAGCCTTTATTCGGCAACCTGGGAGACAAGATTCTCCTGTCTCGCGCCAGCAGTTATCAAGGCTGTCCTTCCGTGTGTGTGTGTTCTGGGCCCCATATTGTGGGGAAAACAAGAACTGACCCACTGCTTCCCCAACAGGCATGTCTTATTGTTGACTGAAAGTTGGCATCCTTCAAAGTCGATTAGCATCTGCTTGAGAGGCAATGAACCAACAGTCTGCAATCTGTGAAATGGATGTGAACGCAACACTCAGGTGTTGGAACATGACTAATGTCCAGAGGTTGACAAACATCCAGCAGAACCTTCCACTGGAGTTTACAGCCAGTGAACATGATGAAGAAGAGTTCTGTAATGATATCAAACCAAACTTAATGACTTTTATAGCTGTTTATTTTTTCCATTGTACATTCTCAGAGAGAGACGACCCTCATGCACTCATCATCCTGGCAGAGGAGGAGTTGGTGGTGCTAGACCTGGAGACGGAGTCTTGGCCCAGCTTCCGCCTGCCGTACCTCAACAGTGTTCATTCCTCAGCCATCACTTGTGCACAGCATGTGTCCAACGTGCCAGAGCAGCTTTGGCAAAAGATCACAGATGCTGGAGATAGCCAGAATAAGAATTTCTCCAAAAGGGTAAGAAAAGCAGTATAGAAACAAGGATTGTAATTATGTGTTTTGTGTGTGTGTGTAGATTTTCAGTCTTATTAGTAAAAATAAAGTGAGAAACACAAGATATTGCTGAGTCATTGCAGCCAGCCTTCATTATGGAGAAATTTGATCGACTGAGTTTGCTTCAAGTAATTTTGAGACCATTGATTTTGTACTTTAATTTATGAGATGGATTAAAAAGTTATGGATTGAAAAGTTAAAACGTCAAAAAGTTAGATTAAAAAGAAAGTAGCACAATACCAAACTTAGATCAGCTTTTGACATTATGGCACTGGATATCCCTTTCTGGATCACTCTTTGACGTATGCTGCTAAATCAGTGTCTCATCTGTGAAGGTGAGCCTGGATCAGTGTCTCATCTGTGAAGGTGAGCTTGGATCAGTGTCTCATCTGTGAAGGTGAGCCTGGATCAGTGTCTCATCTGTGAAGGTGAGCTTGGATCAGTGTCTCATCTGTGAAGGTGAGCTTTGATCAGTGTCTCATCTGTAAAGGTGAGCTTGGATCAGTGTCTCATCTGTGAAGGTGAGCTTGGATCAGTGTCTCATCTGTGAAGGTGAGCCTGGATCAGTGTCTCATCTGTGAAGGTGAGCTTGGATCAGTGTCTCATCTGTGAAGGTGAGCTTGGATCAGTGTCTCATCTGTGTAGGTGAGCTTGGATCAGTGTCTCATCTGTGAAGGTGAGCTTGGATCAGTGTCTCATCTGTGAAGGTGAGCTTGGATCAGTGTCTCATCTGTGAAGGTGAGCTTGGATCAGTGTCTCATCTGTGTAGGTGAGCTTGGATCAGTGTCTCATCTGTGAAGGTGAGCTTGGATCAGTGTCTCATCTGTGAAGGTGAGCCTGGATCAGTGTCTCATCTGTGAAGGTGAGCCTGGATCAGTGTCTCATCTGTGAAGGTGAGCTTGGATCAGTGTCTCATCTGTGAAGGTGAGCCTGGATCAGTGTCTCATCTGTGAAGGTGAGCTTGGATCAGTGTCTCATCTGTAAAGGTGAGCTTGGATGAGTTTCTCATCTGTGAAGGTGAGCTTGGATCAGTGTCTCATCTGTGAAGGTGAGCCTGGATCAGTGTCTCATCTGTGAAGGTGAGCTTGGATCAGTGTCTCATCTGTGAAGGTGAGCTTGGATCAGTGTCTCATCTGTGAAGGTGAGCCTGGATCAGTGTCTCATCTGTGAAGGTGAGCCTGGATCAGTGTCTCATCTGTGAAGGTGAGCCTGGATCAACTTTTGACATTATGGCACTTGATCCCTTTTGCCTTCTCTCTGGATCACTATTTAACATTCGCTGCTGGATCACTGTGTTATCTAGTGAATAACAGCTGTCTGGCAAAGTAGACATATTAAGCCTGGACTAGTGAAACATTGCAGTGTATCATTATTTTGCTAAGAAATCTTCGGAGACAAATGCAAATGTCCGTAGAAAAATAGTTTTTCAATGTCTGCTTTAATAATAATTATGCATGTTGATCCTATTGCAGTATCTCCCAGTAAGCCAGCAATTTGTGGCCCCCTTTTATTTTTGACTCAGTCTTTTTATTATTTAACTGAAAAACCTGTTATAATTTACAAATATTAGAATCAAATAAGAAACTGAAAAACCTGTTATAATTTACAAATATTAGAATCAAATAAGATTGCTTTCTAAAGTTTCATAGTAAAAGATAAAGAAAAGTTGCGTATCCTTTACAAGACCTTGCAGAACTAAACCCAGCATTGTTTGGTTTTTCTTGGCAAATTTTCTGCTCACTAGTTTGCCGTTGCTTCTGAATGGTCAGCTCTCGGTACCGCTGTCGAAAGCAGCGCAAGACGTTCTGCTGCCAAACCGCCCTCAGCTGAGATCAAACCCGACATTACATACACATGGACTTAGCCAGACACCGGCTGGTAAAGATACAACCCCCTTATTAAATGTGTTTCTTGGAGTACACTGGCCACCAGATGGGAGACCCTGAACTGTTCTGTTGCCTGTGTATCATTGAGGCCCGTGAGGAGAGGCAAGTTGAGTTCAGAACCATCATCATAGCAGCACCCAGGATGTTCCCAAAGTGCTCCTTCTCTTTCTCCAGCAGCCAGTGCAGGAATTCCCATAGTGCCAGTTGCAGTAGGTATGTCCACAAGGACAGCTCTGTAAACCAACAGATTTGTTATTTTTGTGGTTTTTTTGTTGTTTAAAGTAGCCAGTGGTTTGGTTATAATGGGTGAGCTGCCTGATGCTGCCAAAGTTAACAAATTACTGTGGCAATGTTACTGTGACAGTGTCACAGTGACAATGTTACTAAAGGTTTCCTTCTTACATGAATACTAGATAACATTTGCTATTTAGCAGACAATGTTCTTAGTGCCTCTCTTCTCATTTCTTCTTTTTTTTTGTTTCTGAATATAGGAGTGGCCCATAAATGGTGGCAAAAATTTGGCAGCAGCACCTTTAACTAAGGATCTACTTCTAACTGGGTAGGTTGGTTATCATATATAATTTCTGTGTTTGTGGCGAAGTAGGTAGGTTGGTCAGAAATGTTTGTGTGGAGGAACATAAATAGTTTTAGATGTTGGTTAGTCATTTAGTCAGTCAGTAGCAGGTCCTTTGCAGAACTTTGCTCCCATAACATGCCTCAGGAAAACTTCTCGATCACAAGCAAGATGTCTCGTGTCCGATACACCCATCTGGAGATCATCCGCCACATCCTGCTCTCATCTCCTCCTTGGCCCTCCTCTCTTCCCAGGCATATACCCCTCCATTATTGTTCTCTCTAAACTTTCGTGACGTTTTAAGGGACCAAAACATTTAATTTTTCTGTGTTTTATCGTCTTTAATAGCCAACCTTCTTCAGTATTCAGTTTTTGAAGTATGGATGCATTTGTTCTTTTCTTTACGCATGATATTCTTAGAGCCCATTGACAACATTTGTATTCAAAGGCATTTATGTGCTAGTCTTTACTGGACATGTTAAAAAAAAGACCTTAGGCTGGGGCTATATTTTTTGTTGACTGTCTTATCGAAGATACCGTTAAATTTGACACATGAGAAATAACTGGATTACTATCTTATTAGAGATGGGGTTAAACTTGACACAGGAGAAGTAATTAGATTACTATCTTATCATGGGTGTGGTTAAAATAAATGTATGTCATGTAAGACACTATGATTAACTCTTTGAGTCCCAGAGGGTTTAGCATCACAGGCCTAAGGTGTAGTCAGAGGAGACGTAAAATCGGCGCATCATGCGTTCATTGGGCTACTAGGCAGTAACCTATGAACGTATGATGCGTTCCTTGGGACTCAAAGAGTTAAACTTGGTGGGCGTTTTTTGTACTGATGATGTTCTAGGACATTTTCTTAGTTATATTGTTGTACTGATGATGTTCTAGGACATTCTGTTAGATATATTGTTGTACTGATGATGTTCTAGGACATTCTGTTAGATATATTGTTGTACTGATGATGTTCTAGGACATTCTGTTAGATATATTGTTGTACTGATAATGTTCTAGGACATTCTGTTAGATATATTGTTGTACTGATGATGTTCTAGGACATTCTGTTAGATACAGGGGTGCCAATGATGGGTTTTTCCCCCCAGATCTGGGTTTTTTTCAGAGTTCTCAGGGAAATCTGGTTTTTTTTTAAAAAATATATCCTTATATAAAAGTGGTAATTGTTTCGTTTCGTAACTATAAATTTTGTAAATTTTAACAATCTGGGTTTTTTATTTTGTTTTCTTGTTCTTTGTCTATGTATTGCTTGGGTTTTTGTTAAAAAAAGCTGGGTTTTTCAAAAAAATCCCATTGGCAGCCCTGGTTAGATATATTGTTGCACTGATGATGTTCTAGGACATTCTGTTAGATATATTGTTGCACTGATGATGTTCTAGGACATTCTGTTAGATATACTGTTTTACTGATGATGTTCTAGTACATTCTGTTAGATATATTGTTGTACTGATGACGTAGGAATAGTTTGTTTTATTGATTATTATACCGTAATGTAGATATAGTCTCATTGATTGTTATACTCCAGGGATCAGTCTCAGATTGATTGTTACATTGGTGGATAATTTTGCTAACATGAAATGTTCAACAGACACGAGGATGGCACTGTGAGGTTCTGGGATTCCTCCACCTCCTGTCTACACCTGATGTACAAGCTGAGCACCTGCCCAGTGTTTGGGATTCCTGTCAACAATGTTGAGTCACCAAGTGCCGAGGAGGAGGAGTGGCCACCATTCCGCAAGGTTAGATTGTTGTTGACTTGGAGCAACAAAGAGTTTTATTTATGTTTCAGAGTTAAGGAATAAAACTTAGATTAAATATTTTGCTGTTGCCACTTTTCTGTCTATCCAGATAAGAGTGTTATAATTTTTTAGAAGGAGGCCGTTTGAAAGCGAAGTTTCGGAATACACACATGCAACCTGACTGTCTGAAACTGAAGCCCCACAGCATACACAGGGAACTTGACTGTCTGAAACTGATGCCTCAGAACATACACAGGGAACTTGACTGTTTGAAACTGATGCCTTGGAACATACACAGGGAACTTGACTGTTTGCAACTGATGCCGTGGAACATACACAGTGAACTTGATTGTCTGAAAATGATGCCATGGAACATACACAGGGGACTTGACTGTCTGAAACTGATGCCTCAGAACATACACAGGGAACTTGACTGTTTGAAACTGATGTCTCAGAACATACACAGGGGACTTGACTGTTTGAAACTGATGCCATGGAACATACACAGAGAACTTGACTGTCTGAAACTGATGCCTTGAAACATACACAGGGAACTTGACTGAACTGATGCCTCCAAACATACACAGGGGATTGACTGAACTGATGCCTCCAAACATACACAGGGGACTTGACTGTCTGAAACTAAAGCAGTTAAAGTAACAACTAGGACAGTGTATAAAGCTTCTGATTGATTGAGCTGATTGAGCTAACTCATCTGGCTATGTTACCTCACAGTGGATTGGGAAATAGATCTCGGACTCCACTCTTCAGTAAAGGTGATAAGTTAGTAACTACTCTGATACAACTGGGGCTATATATTAACAGATGTTGTTTCTGGTTGAGGTTGTATTTCAAGACTGCCTTTTAATTGCAGGTGGGAACCTTTGACCCTTACAGCGATGACCCTCGTTTGGCCATTCAGAAACTAGCCCTGTGTGCACTTAGTGAAACCTTGGTGGCCGCTGGCTCTGCGGGCCAGGTGCTAATTTTCAACATGGAGCGACAGGAACGAGAGCAGGACCTCAAGGTAAGGCTTGTGTTTGATCTGTTCACTAATGTTAAAAGTTCACCACGTGGTGAATTGACACTTGACAAGGCAGATGTGGTCAAGGCCCTTTGGGAACAAGGAATGGAATCAGTAGAGAAGCAAAATTATTATGGCCTGGAGAGAATGAGGCACCTGGGTGTAACCAGAGGGTCTGGCCGCCCCACTACACTTAGAGGAAAGGCAAGACGGACATATAACCAGATTGTGACCAGTACCGTCAGTATTGGAACTCTGTGCTGGCTGCTGAAGATAAGGACCTACTGTCCTAACAGACTTGTCATAAAGGGAGACTAATTAATGATGTTTCCCTCAAAGTTAGAGTGCATATGCCTGAGAGGCTAGGATCCAACAGTTTGCATACAAATAAGCCAGATCTGTAGAATGAATATGCATCTGCCTGAGAGGCTAGGAACCAACAGTTTGCATAGAAAAAAAACCAGATCTGTAAAATGAATATGCATCTGCGTGAGAGGCTAGGAACCAACAGTTTGAGTACAAATAAGCCAGATCTGTAAAATGAATATGCATCTGCCTGAGAGGCTAGGAACCAACAGTTTGCATACAATTGTAACAAGACTAAAGTCCAAAATGGACATAGAATCAGAACTGCTGGAGTTTACATAAAGAAGAAGAAATTTCCACCAAGACAGGGATCTTTTCAGTGACCTAGGCTCTGAGGTTGACTCTGCCTTAACTGGGAAGTAAAAGTGATCTGGACCACGTTACCTCTCAAGGACTGATGAGTCTTAAAATATAGTAATACCATGTTTCCCCACAGCTAAGGCTAGGTCTTCTATACATGTTTTACTCCAAAAAATACCTTAGACTTATTTTGGGAGATATCTTATGTTTTTCTCAAGTACGTAAGGGTAATGGTCTTTGGTATTTTTACAGATACTTAATTATATATAACAATTATATTATTTTCTGAAGCATTGATGCACATAATATTTTTTTTATACATTCATTACTTTATAATTCAGTTCATATGTCATACGTTTCAATGTACAAACAACATATGTCTGTCTAGCTGCGACCTTAACCAGGAAAAATCATGCTAGGGCTTTTTGTCGGGTCAAATCTGGGTTTTTTTTCTCTTTAGAAAACCCGGCAAAACCATATACCTAATACACTTTGTTTAGCATGAATAGGGGTTGCTGACATCAGAAGACAGTATTATGTTGTATTATGTTCAATGAAATCTCACCACATTATATGCCAGGGTTTCTCAACTGGCAGCTAGTGGGTCAGATCTGGCCTGCAGAGATGTAGCAAGCAGCCCACGGATCATTGCCAGTCGTATTGTATTAATGGTCTTTTTATGCTGGGGCTCTGGCCTGTGGCGATATCCACTTCCAGTGTTTTGACACCAGAGTCAACTTGGTTGAATAGCACTGTTATAGACCATTGTTCTTATCATTTGAACTGAGTGCTTATTGACATCTGTTTCTTGTATTGTGGAAATCAGGAGGTGAAGGTGAACATCATGAATGACCATGAAGGCTTTGTATGGAAAGGACACAAGGCATTGAGCTGTAAGATTGGGGACCTCAAGTATGCAGCAGGGTTCCAGCCCACCTGCCTAATGCAGCTAGATCCCCCGGCAGCTTGTACTGCTCTGGCACTGCACTCGGAGTGGCAGCTGTAAGTTGAGTGTTTCCTGTGTAGGTAGTGACAAGCGTTACACCGGATTCTGAAATTTTTGTTCACTTAGAACTGTTTATACAAACACTGCAACATATATTTTTAATGTCGGGTGATCAAGTGATTGGCCTTACGCTGAAGACTCTGGGCTCACTTCACCGACCCCTTGTCTGGGTCACATTGAGAGAGGTAACAAACGAAGATACACACTGCCACTTAAGGAGCACATTGTTAAAAACGACCAATTAAGACTGCAGGAATTGAATGTGGTGGGCTGAAGGGCACAGATGTTGCAGTCTAGCTGTAAATCACAACACCACATGCTAACCACCACCCTTTTAATGACAAATGCAGAATAAGCACAAATCTACAGTGGCACATAGAATGACCCATTTATTTGTGGATATATCGTCTCAAATATTGTTCTAGAGAGAATGAAGAGGGAAATTAAAATTAGACATCGTGGGGGAGTCGGAAGTGGGGGAGGGGGGGGGGTACCTTGGGGTGAAGCACATAGGCACCATCTTCAATATAGGAGATGTAACCAAGAAAAGACAATAGAGGTACCTCAGGAAGGCTGGTTAATTGGAAGACTGAGCAGACAGGTGAATGAATGCCCAATAGAGCAGAGACCTTTATAACGGCATGAGGTTTGATCACCTCATCTAGAAAAAATCAGCATAATTCAATGAATGAATGCTAACAAAGGTCTTGAGGTGGTTTGGTTGAGGGCCCTTGCTACAGTGGGATAATAGAAGGCAGAGAAAGAAGTGAATATTATTGCATTGAGTGTTATTCATTCCTCATCTTGTCTCTTGTAAAAGTTTGATCTTGTATTTACACTGCAAAATAGCCATTGCCATGTTTACCCCACTGGGGCAAATCCCAGATGCCTCGACCACTGGGGCAAATCCCAGGTGCCTCGATCACTAGGGCAAATCCCAGATGCCTCAACCACTGTAGCAGATCCAACATGCCTCAACCACTGGAGCAAATCCCAGGTGCCTCGACCACTGGGGCAAATCCCAGGTGCCTCAACCACTGAAGCAAATCCCAGGTGCCTCAACCACTGTAGCAAATCCCAGATGCCTCGACCACTGGGGCAAATCCCAGGTGCCTCAACCACTGGAGCAAATCCCAGATGCCTTGACCACTGTGGCAAATCCCAGGGCCTCAACCACTGGAGCAAATCCCAGGTGCCTCGACCACTGGGGCAAATCCCAGGTGCCTCAACCACTAGAGCAAATCCCAGGTGCCTTGACCACTGGGGCAAATCCCAGGTGCCTCGACCACTGGGGCAAATCCCAGGGCCTCAACCACTGGAGCAAATCCCAGGTGCCTCGACCACTGGGGCAAATCCCAGGTGCCTCAACCACTAGAGCAAATCCCAGGTGCCTTGACCACTGGGGCAAATCCCAGGTGCCTCGACCACTGGGGCAAATCCCAGGTGTCTCAACCACTGGAGCAAATCCCAGATGCCTTGACCACTGGGGAAAATCCCTCGTTCAGCTTCTTAGAAAGTTTTAAACAGGACACACTTAACAGTTAAAATAGCCTGGGGTTAAGTTGCAAAATGAGCTGCCAAGTGGCGAGAAAGGGAAATAGTAAAGTAGTAGAAAGTAGTCTGTGTTGCACATAAAGTTAAAAAAAAATGTTAAGTAAAGGATCCATTTCCACGCCTTCAGGCAAATTGGGCATATAGGGCTAGACTTGTATTTTTTAGACCAGTCTGCACTAGGTGTGTGATTTGATCAACATCATACAGGCTGCCTATACTTGCCAGGACTGTACCTGGTATCCATTTGAGGCTGTGTGCAACCTGGGAGCCAAGGTCGTTTTGGGAACAAGTCTGAATCTTGCACATAGCATGTAGTTTTGTGCAGCCCATTGTATTATTTGAGTACCTATCATGTGCTATGTGTCTCCACATATGAAAAGAGATCATGATTGAACACAAACTGCTCATTCTCTACAGGGTGGCTGCTGGCACTGGTCAAGGATTTGCCCTTCTGGATTACGCGCAGAAGAAGGAAGTAGCCACAAGATGTACACTCAACCCTAATGGTGAGCTCAGACACTCTTTTTCTTCTTCCACAGTTAAGAAATATTTGTATTGTTTTTATAAGCACAGAAGAAGAAGTATTGTTTTTGCAGGCTGAGGACCCCCTGTCTACACTGCCACAAGAATGTGGTAAATGCAGACAACAGTGAGAATGACAGTCTTATTGTTCTTGTATACTGAAATGTTTAGATTGACCTTCATAGTTTCAGCCATGGCCATCGAGTTAAACATATTTGTCGATTCCTCCCACTAAAAAAGATGGTTGATACATTGTTTCTGAGGACAGCTTTTATCATGTTTGCTGTCTAGGCAGTTACAGTCCCCTGTTTGCACGATTCTCTCTTTTCGGATATTGGGCTTCTGGGGTCAAAACATTGCGAAGGCATGTGGTCGTGGCTGCCACATCTGTTGTTCATTATTCTGCCCCGACATAGCACAACCACAGTACATGCTGCTCCCACAAAAAACACATAGTTTCCTATGTTAGAAATGGGCGCAAAATAGCAGTCCATGATAAAGGAACAGAATAATCGGAGAGAACACAACCGTAGAATAATGACACTGCTGCTATTAGCCATTTTGATAACATAACATTTATAGTTTCTAAAGTGTTAAATCTCACACTTGTGTTTTTCCCAGTTAAAATTGTGATTTTGGTATATCTTTGTAGACCTTTCTGCCACGTCTGACACAGCAATGTCACGCCGGAAATCTCTGAAGAAGTCCCTTCGTGAATCCTTCCGGCGACTGCGCAGACGACGCTCTGAGAAGAAACACAAAGATGACAGACCCAAAAAAGATGATAGAGCGTAAGGATTAATGTTTCTGACAGTGTGTTTCTTGTTCTAGATCTCTTAAGTTCTTTAACTTTCCAGAGTCATTGTCCGTTTAAATCCATCTGAATCTGAGGATTAGATGTGTCGTGATGAATTGAGGTGTTACAAAGGTTACGGCATATAGACAGAATGGCAGATAACAGACAGACACAAACTTTGTACACAAAAGTTTAATGGAAATATACTATAAGGCAGATGGTGGAGAAATAATATTCAGGCAGACCTACAAAAGAAGCAGATTCAGAGCTTTTGAACTTTGTTACAAAAACATAATGAGAATACAGTAGATCAAGAATAGAGGAAATGCTGACATTCTATCTACAAGATCTGAAAGAACAGATCCAGTAACAGAACACAGCTTGAGAAGGCTGAACATTTATTTGTTGCTCTGAGTTATGAAACAGTTCTCATTTACTGCAACGTTAACCAGTTTTGTTACGTAGGTTTTGTAGAACTGATGCAATGTCAATCTAATTTCATGTATGAAAGCTATTTCTGTATGCTTGAGATAAGTATGTGATTTCTTGGTTTTGTCGCCAGAGACACACAGCACATTGAGGAAACAGCAGCGGCCGCAGCAGCAGGTGCCACAGGCTCAGAAGCAGCTGCTGGTGACTGTAAGCCTGAAGAGAGGCAGGTGGAGGCTCGCGGTGCTGATGATTCCATGACTTCCATGGTTCGCTCACTGTGTTTTGCTGATACTTTCATTGTCAATGGTAGGAACAAACCTGAAACATTTTGTCACCAGTAATTCATTGATTGCTTCTGTAAACTGTCTTTGATTGGTTTTCTGACTGAGGCCTTTGTTTTCTATTTTCATTTGTCATGTATTACAGTCCTAATATTGGTATGATTTTCACAAAGATAAGGTTCTTCACCTCCTTTCACTCTCTCACGTTTCTTCCTCTCTGTCTTGCTCTTGTCGCTCTCCATTATATATATATATATATATATATATATATATATATATATATATATATATATATATATATATATATATATATATATATATATATATATATATATATATATATATATATATATATATATATATATATATATATATATCATCAGTCAGAAAGAACTACATGAAATAATAGACATTGTAGTGCTAGAAAGTGGAAGAATGGGCCTCAGTTTGAATAATGGGAAGACAAAAGTAATGGTGGTATCAAAGAAAAGAATTATTTAAAAATGTGTAATAAAGTATTTTGGGACAGGTACAGAAATTTAAGTATTCTGTCACATGGATAACATCAGATGGAAGATGCATCACCAAGATAAAAAAAACAGAATAAGATGGACAAAAACTTCATTTTATAAAATGAACATCTTATGCAATTTATCTCTGTCATTGAAAGTTATAAAATCCTTGCTTGCTACATACATCAACAAATCCCACGTCAAACGATAGTCAATCAGATGAAACTAAGTCATGTATATTATCCCATGCAAGGTTTACATGCTCAGTCCACTCAAATGTCTCCTTTCACGAAGATTACCCACTTTGTGAAATAAAACAAGTGAATTTCTAAAACGTTAAGTGATCTTTCAGGCAATGTTCACCTGCTGTGTTCTACTTGTTATTTTCCTCGGGGTAAATGTTGGCTTGAGGCAGAAAAGAGTACGAACTTCTGTCTGTCCAGGATTTAATTAAGGCCCCTCGACTGCCTGTCCTGGTCTCACATTATACCTCTTGACTATTTAAACTTCATCGACGGTCACATAATCAATCCCAACCTACGACCGTTCTGTAGTTCAGAAATGTTATTTTGTCCACAACACCACTTCTGTCTCTTCTGTGATTTCTGTAGTAAACTTCAGGTAGTACAGTAATATTCAGAAAGGACCGGCTCCCATTGTAAAGGATTGTCTGTATTCCTTTTGTACTGGGTCACTCTTATACTTCCTTTCACAAACAAACAACCCAGGTCGTTGTCTAGGGGTTCAGATCCAGAGTAGATGAGGCAGACTTCTCTTCCAACAGACTACCACGTCTCCAAAGGACAGTTGATGATGGTTGTCGCCAGTTCCAGCTTTACTAATGTCATTCAATATCATATCATCAACAAACATCAACAACCTTGCTTACACCATCTGGACAAGGTTCACTTGCTCACACCTTTGGGTATACAGCCACGCCACGGTCGACACAGTCCGCACAATTAACAGTTGGTAGGACACCTCCATTGTCCTCAGATACATGTCAACGTGGCTATACTGCAACCACATAATAGCCATTCAGGATCAACGTTCACTTCATTTAACTCAGGATGGAGCTTAAATCTGAACTCTCTGGGGTGCTGTCACAGAATGCCTCACTAGTCAGCGATTTCCCCCAGACTCCGTGTTCAAACGTGAATTCGACAATCTCATGTTTTACCATTTCCACATTAGTCTCATGTCTTTCATTCTTTGGACTTCCCCAATTCTGTAAATCAGCCAAACCCTCACGTTATACCTATTTTTAGCCTCCAGACACAAACATTCCATAGCACAGTTTATTGTCTGGTATATTTTTTTTGCATCTCATCAGATTCATTACTACAGAGATACATCAACATGATGAAGCACACACACACATGAATACTTTTCACCTAAATACACATCACAGTGTCAAATTACATTGTACATCTTTCCACCAGAAATTCCAAATTAGCCACTGTTCTTGAACAGCAGTGTCTGTATTAGTCTTGCCTTTGTTTGTATGTTGTTTACTATTTTATAAGTATGCTTATTGTTGACTTGTAGAAACCAGATGTGTTGTATTTCAACTCCAGGTGCAAGCCACAGTCCATCTCTATGGGTGGGAACCAACGGCGGCCACATCTTTGTGTACAGCCTCACTGTGCCAGCGTCTGACAAACGCACAGAAGACTATGTCCAGTGTCTCTTAGCCAAAGAGATCAAGCTGAGACACAGGGCCCCAGTCCTCAGCATTGCAGTTATAGACAGCAAGAACACAGTGCTGCCGGAAGCATTTGAAGTCATCCACGAGAGAGCCAAGGCTCCTGATATGGAGGGTCAGCATTCAGTTATCATCTGTTCAGAAGAACAGCTGAAGGTAACAGTCTTCAGGATATCTGAAGTTTCTTTTTATTCTTTGCTCACCCTTTGAAGCAGTAGGTGATTTCTGCATTGCTTTATTACTAAAAATACATAGAAGTCTTTTTGGTTACTTTTGTAAGATACTGATTGGATATTTTATTGCCATATGAAGTGTCCATTGGTTTTGAAAAGAATTACCTCAAAAAAGCAGAGAAAAGTACCATAAGCATAATTTCAGTCATTTTCCTTTGGAATCAGAGATGGTGTTTTAATGGTTTGTATAACTTTACGATGGGATTACAGGAAGCCATTTAGAGGTACATTTGTATTTTTACCAGATTTGTAAAACTTTACGATAACATGGGATTACAGATGGCCATTTTAGAGGTACATTTATATTTTGACCAGGTTTGTCTAACTTAAGGATAACATGGGATTACAGGTAGCCGTTTTAAAGATACATTTATATTTTCCAGGATTCATACCTGTTTAATGGGATTGAGCAGGTTTCTAGGATTCATACCTATTTAAAAGGATTGAGCAGGTTTCCAGCATTCACACCTGTTTAATGGGATTAAGTAGGTTTCCAGCATTGACACCTGTTTAATGGGATTGAGCAGGTTTCCAGCATTGACACCTGTTTAATGGCATTGAGCAGGGGTCCAGCATTCACACCTGTTTAATGGGATTGAGCAGGTTTCCAGCATTGACACCTGTTTATTGGGATTGAGCAGGTTTCCAGCATTGACACCTGTTTAATGGGATTAAGCAGGTTTCCAGCATTCACACCTGTTTAATGGGATTGAGCGGGTTTCCAGCATTCACACCTGTTTAATTCTCATCCCTCGGGTGTTGATCCTACAGACTGCAATCCTAGAAGAGAAAAAGTACATATCGTATACCGTTACATATTTACGCAGAACATTATAAAGGCCTTACTGGATATTTCTCACAGCCTGTGGGTTGAAACACTGTTATTTAACATTACAGAAACATGAGATTACCTGTCACTTTTGTGGATGTCAATTTATATTAAGGTATCGAAGTAGGAGACTGTTGCGGTTAGAATTATTTTCACAACTGCTTGCATTTTTTGTTCTGTGTTCAAACTCAGACCTTCACCCTTCCCGCCCTGAAACCGAGGTGGAAGAACAAAATTACTGCCATTGATGGAGCTAGGTTGAGGAAGATCAGCTTTGTCAACTTTAGGAGACAAGGTAATGTGAAAATGATTCTGTACTTTCCCCGTGTGGGTTCCCAGGCCCCATTGTTTGGAAAACAAGAATAGACCCACTATGGCCCCAACAAGCGTGTCATAAGAGCCGACTAACTGGGGGCTTCCTTTGAATTCAGAGTGGATCTACCTGAGAGACAAGGAACTAACAGTCTGCATTAAAACGAGATATCTGTAAAAAAGATGTGCACGCAGAACACTCAAGTTCTCAACAAGACTAAATTCGAAAGATTGGTGAACAGCTAGAATTTTCTGCTTGAGTTTACAGCTAGTGAACGCGAAGAAAAAGAAAAAGAGACTACCTGACAATGAAAAGTTTAAAAAAAATTAAAAGTCGAGAGGGTTAACTTCTTAGCTCTGGGTTTATCCCATTGGCGAACTGCCTTTGTGTATCACACAAAGCACAAATGCCATAGCTCCAGCAACTATTCCCAGGATCTTCATAAAAGCTGCATGCATGGACTGAATGATGCTATCCATGAAACAAATGCATGACCTTCAGTTACACTGTGAGAATTAAGACTTCTTGACTGTAGTAACAAAGTCCATCTGTTTAAGTATGTTTGTACTTGACATGTGGTACTGTAGTAACAAAGTCCATCTGTTTAAGTATGTTTGTACTTGACATGTGGTACTGTAGTAACAAAGTCCATCTGTTTAAGTATGTTTGTACTTGACATGTGGGACTGTAGTAACAAAGTCCATCCGTTTAAGTATGTTTGTACTTGACATGTGGTACTGTAGTAACAAAGTCCATCTGTTTAAGTAGGTTTGTACTTGACATGTGGGACTGTAGTAACAAAGTCCATCCGTTTAAGTATGTTTGTACTTGACATGTGGTACTGTAGTAACAAAGTCCATCTGTTTAAGTAGGTTTGTACTTGACATGTGGTACTGTAGTAACAAAGTCCATCTGTTTAAGTAGGTTTGTACTTGACATGTGGGATGTAGTAACAGAGATAATCTGTTAAAGTAAGTTTGTACTTGACATGTGTGATGTAGTAACAGAGATCATCTGTTAATTAAGTTTGTACTTGACATGTGGTACTGTAGTAACAAAGTCCATCTGTTTAAATATGTTTGTACTTGACATGTGGTACTGTAGTAACAAAGTCCATCTGTTTAAGTAAGTTTGTACTTGACATGTGTGATGTAGTAACAGAGATCATCTGTTAATTAAGTTTGTACTTGACATGTGGTACTGTAGTAACAAAGTCCATCTGTTTAAATATGTTTGTACTTGACATGTGGTACTGTAGTAACAAAGTCCATCTGTTTAAATATGTTTGTACTTGATATGTGGTACTGTAGTAACAAAGTCCATCTGTTCAAGTAAGTTTGTACATGACTTGTGCGATGTAGTAACAGAGATCATTTGTTAAGTAAGTTTGTACATGACATGTGGGATGTAGTAGCAGAGATCATCTTTTTATGTATGTTTACTTACTTCCATTAGTCTAAATATTGTATAGATCTTCCATCTGTCAAAGGTTGCTGTAGAGAGGAATTATCTCACAAATCTGTTACAGTTTAGCCATCAAATCTAGTCTCTAAAGGTATTGTGGTATCACCATATATTTAGCATAAACTCTAGCCTGTAGGGGTACCTTGAAATCATTAGAACTAATTATAAAAGGTATGTGGAAAGGGGTGAGGGAGACAGAACCCTCCAACTGCCTGCATAGACCACTCGAGGGTAGTGTATGAACAGATTTGTACTGAGCCCGAGGGTTTAGTGCTGCAACATTGAAGCAGTTTCTATGAACAGTTCAGGTTAGGGTGTTTTTTTTATACCTTACCAAAGATTGGAACCTGTAGCTCATCCTGCAACAAGTCCTTGTGCAGAATGTCACTGTCATCACAGAATGCCAGAAAGTCACTAGGTTCCCTCCCTGCCAACCTTACAACCTTATGAAAATCTCCACCTAGGGTGACCTTACTGTTCGATGTCCACTGTCACGCAGGTCACAACCTCAGGGACCTAACTGCTTGGAGGAAACTAAAGAGAAAAAGCCCAAAATCCAGCCTACACATTATTTTATTTGATAGTCTGTCTTTCATTGCGAAAATATTTCATAAATGGTGGTCATTGTTTTGAATGTTATCTGGCAACAGGGGACAACTACAATGAATTTGATATTGCCTGTTTGACCAACACGGGTGACTTGCGAGTCTATTCGGTGTCCACTCTAAGGAGACAGTTATCAGCTCAAGCACTCCGCAAGGAGGACATCAAGTATGTTTCCTTTTTTTTTCAATTTTATTTCGAATTTTTGTTGGGATTTAAACTTTTGTTGTGTGAGGGCCTTATACATTCTAGGCTACAGCGTATGAGCTGGGATGTGTTGTGTGAGGGCCTTATACATTCTAGGCTACAGCGTATGAGCTGGGATGTGTTGTGTGAGGGCCTTGTACATTCTAGGCTACAGTGTATGAGCTGGGATGTGTTGTGTGAGGGCCTTATACATTGTAGGCTACAGCGTTTGAGCTGGGGTGGGATGTGTTGTGTGAGGGCCTTATACATTCTAGGCTACAGTGTATGAGCTGGGATGTGTTGTGTGAGGGCCTTATACATTCTAGGCTACAACGTATGAGCTGGGATGTGTTGTGTGAGGGCCTTATACATTGTAGGCTACAGCGTATGAGCTGGGATGTGTTGTGTGAACGCCTTATACATTCAAGGCTACAGCGTATGAGCTGGGGTGTGTTGTGTGAGGGCCTTATACATTCTAGGCTACAGCGTATGAGCTGGGATGTGTTGTGTAAGGGCCTTATACATTCTAGGCTACAGCGTATGAGCTGGGATGTGTTGTGTGAGGGCCTTATTCTAGGCTACAGCGTTTGAGCTGGGGTGTGTATGTAGTAAGTTGGAACTTTTCTGTTAGATTTAAAAACATGGATGTTGATTGAAATGTATCCACTGCTGACTTGGGAATTTTATGTGGTGAGGTGCCAGTCTCTTCCATGGTGTCTCTCTGGCACCGCAGTTAGAAAACCACAAAAATGGTCTTCTTCTAAATGGGAATGAGACTGGCAAACATGGAGGATTGCATTGCAAAATACTTTCATGAAGCCACATAGAGATGCATTGTGTTAAACAACAGCTTGTCAAACTTCTGTGATTGCTTGCTGACTGACTTCTGTTCTCAACTCTGCAGCGGAATTTCATCTTTTGTTTTCACCAAAGATGGACAAGGGTTCTACTTACAGTCACCTTCAGAGTTTTCTCGCATCACTCTGTCCACCTCCACAAGCACCGCAGCTCCCCGGTGTCAACTGGAGCTGGCTGAAGGTCTGCGGCCACCACCAGAGTCCCCACAAGAAGCTGCAGCAACAGGTGGAGCCACTGTACTCAGGCAGCCCACAGTAGAAGTGACCCCAGCCTCAGAAGAACCATCGCAGGAAGCCCGCGGGTAAGCAGGCAATGTTGTAAGATCAAAGTGCACATATCCTGGTATTGTTTCTGTTTAGAAATTGTTTTGTCCTTTCTTCAACTTCATTATATGACCTTTACAAATAACTTATCAGCTGACGAAAAATGATCATGATGTCTAAATGTTCATGGTTCATTTTACACCTAAGCCCGTAGCTCATTCTGAATTTAACAATGATTACAGCCAAAGCTTCAGCCTTGATCAGTCAGATGTCCACACATATAATAGTAATTGCCCCCCCTCTGGGTTCCAGGACCCCATTTTGAGGGAACAAAGAATAGACCCACAGCCCTCTCTAAGGAATGTTGCACAAAGTGACGAATTACATGTGTTTCCTTCAGAGTCATTTTTTGGTATAGAGGTGAGGAACCAGCAGTCCGCATACGCCAGGCGTAGACAACCAGCCAGAAATTTCCACAGGAGTTTACAGCTAATGAACGCTGAGTAGAAAAAGAATAGTTATTACAAGCACTATATATATTTGTTTGTACGGGGAAAACAAGTGTTTAGGCATGCTAATGGTAACTGACTGACAGATAATTTACCTGCTCTGCATCATCATCATCATCATCACCATGTAAACATATCACACTAATAATGTATGTTGATCTGCTTGGTTAAGTTGAAATTCTGTAGATCACCATTATAATGGTGTTGTGTGTGGTAGTATTAAACAAGTCAAGTTCACCGCCATTTTCCTGTTTGGCCTTTGGGAACATGTCACCTTTGCTGCAGTTTGTTTCCATGCTGGAAAGTTGTATTGAAACACTGATGCTTTTGATGACTATCTGGCTAATGGTGTATGTTGTAATATGTGTTCATCTGTAAGTTTGCCCCAGTTCCAATTCTGTAATGCAGAAACTGGATATTTACACAAAATGTTGCTTGTAATATTATTGTTATTGTTTTTTGATTTGGAAAAATGACAGACCTTACCTGAGACATAATGAAAGGAAATTTATCAGACAATATTGAATATTTTTAATGTATAATTTTCATAATTGAATGAATCAAGTGCTTTGTGTATTTCTAAATGGCTGTCAAGTTTGAGCACAGAACCCAGTGTATATACCCTTCCCATATTTATTGCTTTGTCTGTGAGAGTACATCCTCACATACCATGTTTTTGCATGCACATGTTGGGAGCTAATTGAGGGTTAGGGCTCTTGCTGCTGTCAGTACTGAGAAGTTTCACTCAAAGTTCCTCCGAATATACCAAAACATGTAGAAATGGACCATAGCTCCTCCCCCCCTTCCTTTAGTTTATTATGTCTATAAAAGTTCCCTCCCGCCTCAGTTAATTAAATCTTGCAATTCTGATCACGTACTCATGTAGATTAGTGTTTAAAAGTCGCTGTAAAAGCACGCTTGCTTTGATTGTTTCTGACATATAAAGACACCATTGTTTAACTGTTTGCAGTCCTACACAACTTGTTACCTTAAGGTAACCAGGTCCAGTTTAGAAGGGCTTAAAGTGAAATAAAATCTGTTCTGTCCTGTCTCACTGAAAATAGGACTGGGTCTTATTTAATTTTTGCTCCAAGAGACGCCTTAAGACTTATTTTCATGGACGTTTTATTTTTTTCATATATAAAAGTTTTAATTTGTTTTTCAAGGACAAAAATATACATATATCCAGTTACAAAAATCTATGATTATTCAAAAATTGATATTTATTTTAAGCATTAATATTAATAATATAATTTATACATTCATGATTTATAATCCAATATGCCCGTAGTGTAAGTCTGTGGACAAACAAAATCTACCTTTCTGGCACTCTGTGTTGAATAGGCCTTATGTTTGGTGTAGGGCTTATGTTACAAACATCCAAGAAAAATCCTATTAGGTCTTATTTTTGGGAATACTGTGGTAACAGATCTGAAACAAATTGGATTAAAGTGTTAGCTTATAAACAGTAGTTTAATTGAATTGCTGGCTGAGATAGAAGAATTAAAGAAAACAGAATCGTTTCACGAGGCACTTGTACAGACATAATCTGCTAGATATTACAAAGAGAGTTAAACTACTACACATACATTTAAAGAAACTTTTTCCCCATTGTAAATTTCAATGAGGACACTAGCTATATTTTGCAGATATCTTGACCTGCCATTGTTTGCTGTACCTAGTTATGTGTATGCTACAGATATTCTTACACTGGAATATAAAAAGCACAGGGGACAACTAAACGCTTAGTCTACAACTTCCATGATAATACCTGCAGTGAAATAATGGAACACAATGAGTTTTGTAGTACAAGGGCTTTTGCGCTGAAATGCTATAGGAAGATTGTCAGAATACCATGGACAAACAAGAGAAGAAATATTGACGTGCTAGAAGATCTGAACATCATGGAAGATTGGCCAGTAAACAGCACCCTATCTCGAAAGCTGAAATATTTTGGCCATATTAACTGCCACAGCGGATTAGAAAATATAATAGCAGAAGGTATGGTACCAAGAAAAACGGGCAGTGGTAGATCAATGTGAAGATGGGCAAATGATATAAATAAATTCTTGGATATGAAAGTGCACAAGGCAGGAGAGCTGGCGAGAGACTGATTTACTTTCAAGGCAGGCCGTGATGCGAATGACATTTTGCAAAGGACCTGCTACATGATGATGATGTGTACAGTTAAAAGGGATTTTTTTTAGATCTTTGTTATAGGTTGGTGTAATTTCTTTTGTAGCCACCTCGTGAGATGTAGTGGAATTTACCACTGGCTCTAAATTTATCAAAAAATGAATTTGCTGCTAAAATATATCAAAATATTTGGTTGGCGCTTACCTTCTTCTGAGACAATAGTGTTCTATAGGGAGGCATAGGAATGACAACAGTTGGCGAAAGCAAGATAAACTATTGACTAGTAAGACTAGCCCGCGCTTAGAAGAATCTTCCACAAAAAGTGCATTGGATTGCATCTCTAAAGATATTAATTTTGGAAACATTGCAGACACCATAGTATGTTTAGCAAGCTTTGTGTGCTCTGTTGTGGTGTTTTTGTTGTTGATGCATACACTTCAGGTGGCATGTGAAGCAGCACCACAGGGGTAATGTTTGAGTGTGCTCCCTTGCTCATGTTTGGCTGCTGCAGTTTAACTGTTTTCTCCTGCTTACAGACCCAGTGTGCTTTCATGGTTTCACTGTTTGCACATGGTTGTGTCCTCCAGGTTTTCATAAATCTGTATAGCCTGCCACTGTTTCTCTGTACTACCTCATACAAGCATGCTCCCAATACAAAGCCGTACGTCATCCTTTAATGTTTTCCCATTGTGGGTTCCAGAGCTGCTTTTTGGGGGAAGACGAGAAAAAAAAAATTAAGCATGCCATAACAGGCAACTGATTAAGGGTTTGCTGAAATTTGATGTGTATGGCTGAAAGGCGCATATATTTTGGCCTAGCTGTAAACCACAACACAAAATATCAGACACCCATTTAAGGGTGAATGCAGAAGAGGAAAAAAGAATCTGAAAAGTTCATGATTTTGTCTAATTCTCATTTAGTACTTTAGGAGGATCAGACAGATTGGCATCAGTGGATACCGAACATCAGCCCATCATCAGTACAGTAACTCACTTGGATATACTGCAGGAGTGGGAGAGAATGAATGAGCAGATTCTTTTTGCTTCAAAAGCGATAGGTACTTAAACTGGACAAATGAGACATTCAGAAGACCATTTATGAACAAATACTGATAGAAGACATGAGGTTAGATGATTTACAGTGCAAGAATGTGTGAATGAGGGATTAGAAGGGGATCCACCTAGGGGGGTGTAGAATCAGCATGTTGCAGGAGACGGAGCATCTTTGGGTATGGCCGGTGCTAAGATGTCAGTTCTGAAGTCATTAAACGTTGCTGTATGCTGCATTCATTCATAGTCATGTCTGTTTCTGATTTGAAAGACGCATCCATTTCTTGGTCTTTTGTCTTTATTATATTTTATTAGCCTATTCATGCTGTTGGACACTTGGGTACCTGAGCTGTATCTATTTATTTCTCATGCTGTGCTTCTATATCATCTACAATAGTTCTAAAGCTCTATTTAAGAATTTGGCTAAGTTAGTGTCTTGTTCTATGTAATACCAAAACTTAGTCACTAATAAATCAGTCCGCGTTATTCCAAAACTTTGCTTACTAATATATTATTCTGTGTTACAAAGAAACTCTGCTTATTATTATATTTTTCTGTGTTACAAAGAAACTCTGCTTATTATTATATTTTTCTGTGTTACAAAGAAACTCTGCTTATTATTATATTTTTCTGTGTTACAAAGAAACTTTGCTTATTATTATATTTTTCTGTGTTACAAAGAAACTCTGCTTATTATTATATTTTTCTGTGTTACAAAGAAACTCTGCTTATTATTATATTTTTCTGTGTTACAAAGAAACTTTGCTTATTATTATATTTTTCTGTGTTACAAAGAAACTCTGCTTATTATTATATTTTTCTGTGTTACAAAGAAACTCTGCTTATTATTATATTTTTCTGTGTTACAAAGAAACTTTGCTTACTGTAATATGAATTGGTTGTGCCCTAAAACTCTGCCTTACTAATGAATCAGACCATGTTTTACCAGAGCTCTGCTTACTGATATATCCTTTCTTTTCATGCCAAACCTCTACTAACCAGGTTAAGATAACATAAGACCATGTAATGCTCAACCTCTACTTACTAATAAATAATTTCACATCAAAACTCTGTTTACCAGGCTAAGATAATATATGAGTCCATGTAATGCTAAAACTCTGCTTACTAATAAATCATTTCACATCAAAACTCTGTTTACCAGGCTAAGATAATATATGAGTTCATGTAATGCTAAAACTCTGCTTACTAATAAATCATTTCACATCAAAACTTTACCAGGCTAAGATAATATTTGAGTCCATGTAATGCTCAACCTCTCCTTACTAATAAATAATTTCACATCAAAACTCTGTTTACCAGGCTAAGATAATATGAGTCCATGTAATGCTAAAACTCTATTTACCAATAAATCATTTCACATCAAAACTCTGTTTACCGGGCTAAGATAATATATGAGTCCATGTAATGCTAAAACTCTATTTACTAATAAATCATTTCACATCAAAACTCTGTTTACCAGGCTAAGATAATATGAGTCCATGTAATGTTAAACCTCTACTTATTAAAAATTCATTTCACATCAAAACTGTTCACCAGGCTAATATGAGTCCATGTAATGTGAAAACTGTTTACTAATATACCCATCCTTGTTATGCAAAAACTCTGCTTGTCACACAAATCAGGCTCAAATAACATTTAAAAAAAAAGTAAGGTAGTTGCATGGTGTATACCGATGTACGGGTGAGAAACATCAGGCCTTCACATATGCAAGCCACACATCATAAATAACGGAGGTTGCTACTTCAGGCAGTTGTGAGAATTGTTGGCATTTGGGTGGGGTTGAGTCTAAAAGCAGTGATCAGAGAATTGTTCAGAAACTGCCACTATCTGCTTGCTTGTATAACATCCACACATAACATATCCCCTTTTACTGATCCTTATATATCATATTCTCCTATAACATATTCTCATATAACATATTCTCATATATCATATTCACATATCTCCTTTGGGGGTTCCAGGACTCCATTGTGGGGAATAAAGAATAGTCCTTTTAAAAGGAAGGCCTAAAAGGTAACTCATTAGGGCTTTTCCCTTTGAAGCTGGATAGCACCTGCCTCAGCATAAAAGTAAGCTAGATCTGTAAAAATGGATGTACATACAAAACTCTAATTCTGGAGCAAGACTAAAGTCCAGAAGGGGATAAACAAACATAACTTTTTCTTCACAATATTTTGATTTGACATATGCTTATCTAACACACTAACCCAGGAGTACATATCATTTCCCCCACAACCATCCATATTTACTCAAAGCTACTCTAGCAAATGTGCCTAAATAACCCTGAAAATATGGTGCCCCCGAGAGCTTCTCCTCCCATTATCAACCCTTTTTGTGTATCAGACTTGACAGCCAGCTATGTTATTATAATTTTCCCATTGGTCCCCCCAAACAAATTGTCATACGTTACCGTCGACAGTGAGGCTGATGCAACTTTAACCAGCGTTGACGATTCTCCAATGGATTCTTCAGTGATCTCGGGAGATATTACTGTCGACAGTGTCAGAGATGTCATGTGAGTTACTTTCTCTACAGCTTGCTTCTTCCTTTTTCCAGGATTATACTACTTACTGAACCTCTTGCTTCTGAAATGTTCCAGGATTATACTACTTACTGAACCTCTTGCTTCTTCCTTTTTCCAGGATTATATTACTTAGTGAACCTCTTGCTTCTGTAATTTTCAAGGATTTTACTGCTTACTGAACCTCTTGCTTCTTCCCTTTTCCAGGATTATACTACTTGCTGAACCTCTTGCTTCTGAAATTTTCCAGGATTATAGTACTTACTGAACCTCTTGCTTCTGAAATTGTCCAGGATTATACTACTTACTGAACCTCTAGATTGTGAAAATTATCAGGAGTATCTTTATTTTTCAGTAATTGGATGCCTTTTTCTAGGATTACATTGCCTCTAAAATAATTGTATCCTTTTCCAAGAATTACTGGATCCCTCCCCCCCCCCCCCCCCCCCCCCCTCTTTTCAGGATGGTTATTTTTGCGGAACCACTTAATTCTTTATTTTATTCTCAGATTGTATTTTATCTAAACCACCTAATTCTTTTTTTTTTCTTTCTAGGATTGTATTCTGTCTGAACCACTTAATTCGTTATTTTTTTCTAGGATTGTATTTTATCTAAACCACTTAATTTTTTTTTTTTTCTAGGATTGTATGTTTGTCTTGTACGTTTGATCTTCAAAGGATGTTTTGCACAAATGGGTCTTTGAAACCTACATAGTTAGCTTACAGTTTGATGTTGCTTTCTTCTTTCTCCATTGTAAACAATCATTCTTCAAGATAATCTCAAGAATAAACAGCTGAAATGTTCTATAAAACTGCCTTTACCAGCTGGAGACTGAACATTGATTTACACACACCCACAGAGATCTCTTTGGGGGTTTCCACAAGCTGAAATGTTCTATACAACTGCCTTTACCAGCTGGAGACTGAACATTGGTTCACAGACACCCACACAGATCTCTTTGGGGGTTTCCACAAGCTGAAATGTTCTATAGAACTGCCTTTACCAGCTGGAGACTGAACATTGGTCCACAGACACCCACAGAGATCTGTTTGGGGGTTTCCACAAGCTGTCCAGTCCAGCTGCTTACATCCTGGATTCTTGTAAGGACATTGCAAGAACAGTTTGGATTACATTATTATAACAAGAAGAATTTAGTGTACATTTAAGATGTGACCTCTCTTTCTGTATTTCTAGGTGTATAAATGCTGATAGATAAGTGTTTTTAGGCATTCACAGACTTGGGAAAGCTGATGCACTAGCAGGCATTTCAGTGAAGTAATTGTTCTAGAACACATGTTCTAGTAGTTGCATACAGCGAACTGTTTTGCATCTACTAGGCCAGGGTTTAATGAGTCTGTGTTGTCAGCTTCATAGTTCCTCACTTTTGTTTGCATTACTTTCCCGGGTTGGTTTTATGATCGACTCATTTCGGGACCTGGTGGCCATGACACCAATCCCGTACAGGGGTTCCTCGCTTGAGGGTCTGCTGACACCTGAAAACCTATAAAGGGTGCTTGATACACACCCCAAAAAAATAATAATTTTAGAATGCAGTCTTCTTTGTTGCAAATCAAATATTTATAAATTAAAATACATTCTTCAGTATAACTATTACAAATTGTAGGGTCTGTGGCAGACCTTCAGAAAGAACACTGAACTGCAATTCTCAGGTAACTGGGAAACCCTGCCGTAACAGTTTAACTTGTAATAAGGGATTGTGTCAAAGACAGTAGAAGTCTACAAGTCTTCTTCTTAAAGTCCTTGCAGTGTGGCGTTGCTAGTCATGTCTATCCACTACCCCCTGTCTCGTGTACTTTCAGTCAGTTCTGACACAGATGATCCTCCATGTCATCATGTCAGACTGTAGAATGTCTCTTTCTGATATCAGTTCTCTTGCTGAGTCAATTTCTGTCAAGGCGTCCTCATTACGTGTCTTATATATCCAGAGTTTTCTCATCATTCATCTGTATAACGGCACCTCCAAATAATTGTTCACTAATCAACCAACTGTCCCTGATAGTCTGCAAGTAAACAGACACACTACACTTTCTCCTCGACTTAGACCTATGCCACTTAGAACCATTTACACCAGTGACGACAGGTTTTATAAGTATACAAATAATATAGTGGCTATTGATAGATGAGTACATTGGTTGGGGTCAAAAGGTTCCCAAAACTAAAGGCTAGGGTAAATTATGTACAGTAATTAGATGTACATATGTTGAATGTTTTGTGTACAGTTTTTTTTCAACCTGCTTGAATAAAAATAGTGTTTGAAAATATAAATTTAATTTATGACCTGTTAGTCAGATTGAAACTCAGCCATAGGCTGAGAAGACCCTGCACTGTGCAGACTTGTCAGTTCTGTAGTAATACATTGTTTATGAAACACTATCTTGTTATCTGTTTGTATTTAATCTTCTGTTTTTCTGCCCAACTGAATTGTAGAGCTGAGAGTGAGAACAACACGATTGTAACGTCAGTGAGAACAGTCACCAGAACTGCCACAAGCACAGTGTCAGAGACTGTCGGATCAGCTATCCATGATGGTCAACAAATCATTACAGGTATCCTTTTCTCATTGTAGATAAGTGTGTTTGAGATTCACCGGTAGGGAACATAAGTGGCATTTCTCATTGTAGATTGGTGTGTTTGAGATTCACCGGTAGGGAGCATAGGTGGCATTTCTCATTGTAGATGGGTGTGTTTGAGATTCACTGGTAGGGAGCATAGGTGGCATTTCTCATTGTAGATGGGTGTGTTTGAGATTCACTTGTAGGGAGCATAGGTGGCATTTCTCATTGTAGATAAGTGTGTTTGAGATTCACTTGTAGGGAGCATAGGTGGCATTTCTCATTGTAGATAAGTGTGTTTGAGCTGCACCGGTAGGGAGCATAGGTGGCATTTCTCATTGTAGATAAGTGTGTTTGAGCTTCACTGGTAGGGAGTATAGGTGGCATTTCTCATTATAGATAGGTGTGTTTGAGCTTCACTGGTAGGGAACATAGGTGGCATTTCTCATTGTAGATGGGTGTGTTTGAGCTTCACCGGTAGGGATTATAGGTGGCATTTCTCATTGTAGATAAGTGTGTTTGAGATTCACTGGTAGGGAGTATAGGTGGCATTTCTCATTGTAGATAAGTGTGTTTGAGCTTCACTGGTAGGGAGTATAGGTGGCATTTCTCATTATAGATAAGTGTGTTTGAGCTTCACTTGTAGGGAGCATAGGTGGCATTTCTCATTGTAGATAAGTGTGTTTGAGCTTCACTATTAGGGAGTATAGGTGGCATTTCTCATTGTAGATAAGTGTGTTTGAGCTTCACTGGTAGGGAGTATAGGTGGCATTTCTCATTGTAGATAAGTGTGTTTGAGCTTCACCGGTAGGGAACAGGTGGCATTTCTCATTGTAGATAGGTGTGTTTGAGCTTCACTGGTAGGAAACATAGGTGACATTTCTCATTGTAGATAGGTGTGTTTGACTTCACTGGTAGGAAACATAGGTGGAATTTCTCATTGTAGATAAGTGTGTTTGAGCTTCACTGGTAGAAAACATAGGTGGCATTTTTCATTGTAGATAAGTGTGTTTGAGCTTCACTGGTAGAAAACATAGGTGGCATTTTTCATTGTAGATAAGTGTGTTTGAGCGTGTTTGTCATGTGCGGCCACACATGGACAGGCAGGCAGAACAGAGTGCCAGACATCTTGCAGAAGAAGTATGGCCTGACCAGTGTCCAGCAGAGAAATCTGAGTCTCCACTAAATCGTAATTACAGCAGCATACAACAGAAATAACTAGACTTTTTTGTGTTGATGTCACGACAACCATGAACAAGAGAAATACCAGTTTTATGGAATTAATATAATATATACTCAGTGTCCCTTTGGTGTTATGATGATGTTGATTTCCCTGTTAGGGTTCTGAGCCCCATTTTGGGGGCACTCCCCAACAAGCATGCCATGAAAGGTGTCTAATTAGCAATTTGGTGAAATTTGGTGTGTGGACGGTGCATATATCATAGTCTAGATGTAAACCAAAGCACAGTGTGCTTACTGTCCTTTTAAGCTCAAACAGAGAACAAGAATACTGATGACCAACTTTCAAGACTGCCAGGTTATCTTTTGTATATGCAGAGAACCAGCCACAAGGAAGAGACCAACCGGAAGACCCCATGTGCTGTTACAGATGTCTGAAACCCAGATATGAAAACCCTTGTCATAGATACAGAAACATGAGAGAGAGGATATGCTGAGACCACCCTTAGAGGTTGTGGATACACTGAGACCACTCTAATAGGTTGTGGATACGCTGAGACCACCCCTAGAGGTTGTGGATACACTGAGACCACTCTTATAGGCTGTGGATATGCTGAGAACACTCTTATAGGCTGTGGATATGCTGAGAACACTCTTATAGGCTATGGATATGCTGAGAACTCTTATAGGTTGTGGATACACTGAGACCACTCTTATAGACTGGATATGCTGAGACCATTCTTATACATTGTGGATACACTGAGATATTCTTAGAGGCTGTGGATATGCTGAGACCACTCTTATAGATTGTGGATACGCTGAGACCACTTTTATAGGTTGTGGATACGCTTAGACCACTCTTATAGTTTGTGGATACACTGAGACCACTCTTAGAGATTGTGGATAGGTGAGACTACTCTTATAGGTTGTGGATACACTGAGACTACTCTGAGAGGTTGTGGATACACTGAGACTACTCTGATAGGTTGTGGATACACTGAAACTACTCTGAGAGGTTGTGGATACACTGAGACTACTCTGATAGGTTGTGGATACACTGAGACTACTCTGATAGGTTGTGGATACACTGAAACTACTCTGAGAGGTTGTGGATAGGTGAGACCACTCATATAGGCTGTATATACACTGAGTAGCTGAGGCAAACAACAACAGTTTGCTTGTACTTGCTATCGCTTGTTTTAGAAATATCATAAACCTGAGAGTGGATATCACTGGTTAGAA